TTCAAAGTCAGCTGAAGTGTAGTAATTGAGTTTCTTGTCTTGAGACTTGCTTTCTGAATCCCAGCCTTGAAAGGTGAGAACAGGTTGATGTAAAACATCTCATAAAGTAAGAGATGGCCAATCTTCAACATACAAATTTATTTAAACCATCAGACTAATTCCAGTTCACAAGTATAATGAGCTCTGGGCAATAAAGATCATTATTTACTAACATACGTATCTTCAGTGTACCTTTTACAGAATATGCCTTAATTTCCATCCTGTTAACTGATCTGTGCTATAACAAAACCTTCTTCCATAAAATAATAATCTCTTTGCATTAATTCTGTGAGATTACGATGGGCATCCTGTCATGTCAGTTTTTATGCTTTTATTTTGTTTGGTTGGCTCAAAGTACAGAAAGTTTAAGAGATGAGTGGCTGATAAGAGTTTCCACCAGGCATCACACTCTTTTATGATGAGGCAGGTCTTTGTGGGGCAAAGAAATTGGTGATATTGTTCATCCTTCATCTCTCCAAATTGATTTAAAAAAATGCATTTATATTCAAAGAACATAGATTAAAAGTAGAGACCTGCTCATGATGTCTCTCTCTGAAGGTCTGGGAAAGGAAGTGTATGTCATGTTTTGGTTTTGTTTTGCTTTTTTTCTCTGGTCCTATGTGAAATGTTAGCTTCATCAGTAAGCACGTTGGTGCACTTTAAAACATGAATAGGTAGATTTGGGGCACTAAAGTTCAATTTTCTTGGGGGGGGGGGTGGTGTTCAACTATTTAGGGTAATATTCAAATTATTTTATTTCCTTGGAGGAATAAGGAGTCTTCCTAATTTGTTAGTATATATACTGTTCAGGTTTTTAACCAGACCACTATGAGAACAAAGCTAGAAAGAAAAAGAATGAAGTTTGAAGTCTGAATGTTTTTAAAAGGCATGCAGCTGCTTTGTGAGATGTCTGTAAATGTTTTCAGAAATAACTGGACTATTGGTATCTGAATCAAACATTAAAGCTTGATTCCTCATAGGTGATGAAATTTGCATCAGGTTATGCTTGTCTGTAGAAAGGTAATAGGAAGAAGTCCCATTCCCTGTTTGTAGGTATTGGATTGAATACTGGTATCAAAGAGGAAAATGGTTTACCTCATTTTTAAAATTCAGGCTGGAAAGTTGAAGAGGAACAGTAGAGGGAAGGATCTGGGCTCCAAAAAATCAGGGGGCTAAAAAAAGTTGGTTAGAGAAACATCTTTGTTTTTGAAAGGTAATTACACGCAGTGGATGTTGGTGAACAGCAGGAGAGAGATCTGAAATCAAATGATCAAGATAAACAGAAATGAGAATTCTTGTTCCTGGATGAGAGCATTCCTACATTAATTATGTTGTTTCCATTTTAAATGCCTGATCCTTTTGAAGCTTTAAAACAAATATTCAGAATACAATAAATGAACTCGTGCTCTTCCAGCTGTGCCTAAGTGTACCTGGTATTATTCGGTTATTAAGGAGGAGTAGTGATGCAAAGTAACTGCCATTATGTTTGCTTGGTTGGTTTGTGCAACCCCGTCATATTCCATATATATATATATATTCCTAGGTTTTTTCTTTTTCTCTTTTTTTTTTTAACCTTTTTCACAATGGCAACTGACCTGCTGTGGGCAGAAAGGAATACAGCACACATGCATATGCACATCCATACACACTTATAGTCCCTCAGTAGGCACAGCTGTGTGGTTTTGGACAAGCTTAGCTGGATTTTACATTTTCCCATTGCGCTAGGAGCTAAATGATGTTCCTTCACCCACCTTTGAATTTTCACACTAAAAAATACTGTGAGTTGAAATGTTCAGTTTCCTGTGCCCTGTTATCTGAAAGACTTCAGGCAATCTCCACGGTGGAGTCTGTCGTAGTTGATTGTGGTCTGCAGGTGTAGGGGTATTTTTTTATTGTAGATGTAAGTTTGCAGTACAGTTTGTGGGAATTGGAGATTATGTGGGGAGCAGGCATATATGGCAACATGAGCTTCCACAAAGCAATTTTAATCCCCATCTTCCAATGAGAGAGAGAGGTGGTTTTGACTTGACTTCTCTAAGATGCATACAGCAGCAAATACAGCTTGGATAAAAACAGTCTCTGCCCCAAAATACAGCTCATGCAAGGAGAGAATGAACAAAACTACTCGTGGTAGATGCTAATCTTACCACTTAATGCATGTAGGAAGGGTGCTTAGAAACTCAAGCAATAAGGGAAGAGGCTAATTAAAAGTCATACAATTAATGTTAGGGTTTGTTTTTCTGCAAGTATCTTTTTGGTTTTTAATCATGTTATTGACTCCCTGGATTTGCCCTGATTTTCTTGTAAGGGGAAGCTTAGGGATTTGTTAACTAAATAAATTCTAAGGAAACGAATCTGAATCCTATTTTGACAGTAGGGCTCCCACAATGTTTTTGTCTTTTGTTGGCTTTGAAAGAGAACAAAACATACAGTGAAACTGAGAGTGTTTTCAGTCACTTAGAGGGGTCATTTTAAACTGCTGGGTTAATTTTTGTCTAAGCCCTGAAAAAGCAATCAAGTGTCAGTTTACATACACAAAGGCATATGTTTACATATCTAAATCATCGTGTGTTTACAATAAACTGGCTTAGCATTTAAGCCAGGGAGAATGTCTTTAACGACCCCCCCCAAACACTGCAGCTGCCTGTTGAACACAAAAGATCTCGAGAGACACCTGTGCTTTTGGTGATAGTGAGATTGTGTTTAATACCTGGTTAGAAATTCATTAGTACATACTTACAGCAACTGGGTAGTGTGTGGGTAGTTACCTTGCTGCTTCTGAGCGTAACGTTTGTCTTTAATGACTGATGCTTTGCTCTCATGACATTGTTCGTTGCATCAGTCAAAAAGCCAGAAATGACCATTTTGATCAGGTGAAATTGAAGCACTGTTTCAGATAGACGTAGGTTCCATTTCTGTATGGATTCTGCTTTTTATATCAAAGTACTTTAAGTGAAAAGTTTTCAGAAATACTGTCCCTGCAGTACTTTTCCACTTTGTTGAAGTCATGTATTGTAGAACTGTAAATATGACCAGGTAGCAGGTGTGAGAACTGCCCTTCTCCCACAGAGTTCTGCTGGAGTGAGAGTGGTGCAGTCTGAGAAACTAGAATAGGGCTAAGATGATAGAACATGCCGTTAAATTTATCCTGTTGGCCTTACAGAAAAAGGCTGTGAGATGCTGTGTTTGAAAGTTTTGCAAAGATGTATACATTTAGCAAACAGGCAAGTGGGCAGATGCTATTCATATTATCTCCTCAGAGACTTTTTTTTTTTCTCTGAACAAGCATATTTATTGTGTTATCTAGGTCCTTTAGGATTTTTGGAACACAATTTTGCATATGCGACTCATGAAATAGTGATTAAATATGAGAGAACACAAAACAAGACTTTTAGGACCAGTTTTTATTCCATTTATGCAGAAGAAATCTGGCATTTGCACTCACAGTTACCTAATCAGTGTGCATCAGCAGGGTGGGTATTTTCCAACGCTTCCTAAAAAATGTTGGCTGTTGAGGTCTTGAGATTGTTTTCTGTAATACCTACACCTTTAACTGGGAAGTGTTTGCCAAAAACTAAATTACAGTTGTTTCAGTGATTTCAGTAACTTGTCAATTGGTGATAAGAGTTATATTCTTTCTATGGAACAGAATGTCAAATAAAATCATCTTAATAAAGTTTGTTGTATGCTGAAGGTTTTGTTATGCCTTGTATATTGACTTTTTCCCGTAAAGATTGATAATAACAATAGCAAGTTATTGATGAAAATAATGCTTTGCAGAATGTGCCTGCGAGATAATGTGATCAACTGGTATTTTTTATATTGCTGAAATCCTGATGTATTAGGTGATGAAGTACAGCATGGGTGACTGTGGCTGCTTGTTATATCTGTTACTCATTTTTGGCTGAAATCCTATGACCAGTTATTTGATATTTGCCCAAATACTACAAATAAATATTGCTCAGTAAATATTTATCTCTAAAATTGAATTACAGACAGGTGAGTACTTTTATTTCTAGGTAAAAAAAAATAATTTTATCCTCATGGACCCTATGTCCTGGAAGTCATCAGAGTATTAATTGTCTCCTATTTCTCCATTTAAAATTTTCTTTCGTTTTGTACTTGCATGGGATGGGTGGCTATATGTTGTCTTTGGAGCTTGTTAACAAGCTGAATTGAGCCTCCATCAAACTGAAGTACCCAAGTATTCCAATATTCTTTTTGATGTTTGCCTTTCTACTTCCTGTAGAAGGTACATGGTGATTCAGTTTTTCTTTACTGGTTTACTGATCACTTGCTACTGTCTTTCATAGGGCAGCAGGTTTTCACAGTTCACTTTGCTTTGCTGGAAAACATGGCTCATGTTCACTGTGGTGGAATATGAGGGCCAGTGACATGTTTCTATCTTCTGTTAGTTACTAACCTTATTTGAAGTGTCTGCTTGCACGCAGACATGAGTCTCTTGAAATAGTCACTACTTTATTTTCAGATGTTCCCTTGGAGAGTCTTTTTTAGTAAGATCAACATAAGTGAAATTGTAATTCTTTCAATAACATCTACATGAAAGGAAATAGCGCTAATCATTTATAATAGACCTAATAAATTCCTAAGAAAATTTCCAGGCTCTGCTACTGGCTTGCTGCTGGCCCCAGGAAAACTAAGCCAGGCTAAACTTACCCAGTGTCCAGCATTTATATGTAGACCTGTGAAGGAGGGTTAGGTGTGTTGTACATCCATAATTGTCATTGTCAACACTGAGTTGTGAGTGCCAAGAGCTTATCCTGTCCTTAGGCTGCCCCTTTCAAATACTGAGGAATTTTAAGAGTATTTTGTAAATCATGAACTTCATGAGTAGAATAAGAAGGGTCAGAGATGAGGCTTTTAACTCTAATGTTTTTCAAGTTTCTCTATTGCTGTACATTGAAAAAAATGAGAGTTCTGATCATGGTTTTGTGTTTCAGGACTTAAAATGGCAGGAGAAGATTCCTATATTATGGGAGTGTCTGATCCTCAGGTAACTGGATTTGTGTACTTTCAGTATCCCTGTATTCTCTCCTAGTTCTCTGTTTTGTCTTCCTCTGGTATTCTCCTGTCATTTCCTAGGCTTAACAACATGGAGATATAAAAGCATTCTAGTTATTGGCAGTAATCAGGTCTGGGGAAATCTAGGTTTGTTTTTCTCTGAGGTATTTATGTGACCTGTAAAGTGCCTTGCCACTGGTGAAATGGCTGAAATGAAAAGGAAAGCTAGGCCTGCTGAAAGAAGCAATTGAAAAAGTGCTCATTTTTATGCCCTGTCTGCCTGTGACACTTGCTCTGAAATTTCTTCTGTGGTGGGTGGACATTGGACTTTATCTGAAAATAATGCCCCTTATGCCCTAAAAGGCCCCTTTATATAATTTTTTGTGAAATTTGCATTGACATTGATGACTAAAACGTTCCTTCACTCGCACAGATCAATAGGCCTAGTTCTTCAGAAGCTCTTCCTGATCTCATTAGGTTATTTCATGATTCATTTGAATTGTGAGAATAGTGCTTGAGTGAAAAGTCTGAGTGAAGAACAAATCATTTCTACCCACCTTAACTTCCAAAAAGAAACTATTTTCTCCTTTATGCTTGCTCCACTTTGGAAGAAGGTAGATTTATACTTGACGACAATTACAGTGAGTTAAGGCATGTCAGTATTCAAAAAAAAAAAACAAAAAACTTTAACCTGTATATAGTGTTTTCTTGCATTAGAGCTTGTAAATATATTTACATAAGGAATGTAGTCTGGTGGGGTTTAATCACAGAAGTAGAAATGAAAACTCACAAGTTCTCAGCAAGGTGTTGGGCAAGACATCTAGTGTCAGATTTTCAGAATTTACCATATAAGCTCTTTTGAGTATATAGTTGCTAGTGCATGTAAGCAAAATGCATGCTTAGAAACTGGGCTGAGCTCAGTGCAGTCTCATGATACTGGTGAAACTTGGTCAGTACTATCAGCTTGCTTGCACTGCTGTTGCCAACAAAAATAAAGTAGATATAAAATGTTTACGTAATGCACCAGGGTGTTTGCAGTCTCAATATTTGCAGAGAACTTTGAAATTCTTTGCTGATAGATGCTTTATGAAATTATGTATATATGTAGTAATGAAGAGTATTTTCTTTCAATATAGATGTTTGCAATGGATCAGTTCATGGGAATGAATGCATTATTTAATAATACAAATTACATCACTTCAGACTTACCACTACGAACAGGTAGGAACCATTGCTATTTGATTGTGCCATTGTCCTGCTGTTTCTTCTTTTTGTTCTTTTGTGAAGTTCTTTTAAGCAGCTTTTTTGTTTACACACTCGTATTTCATAATACTAGATCCCAAAGTTGTCAACTAGGCTTTTTATTACACCTTTATGCATCTCTTTCTTACCCTCATGAAACTTTCAACAGTGAGGCAAATCTGATTTTCTTTTGGCTTGTACAGAAGCTGAAAGTTTCAATTAGTGAAATGGTTTGAGTGACCAAAGAGCTTGAGTTACCTGTTTTTATAAATTTTTGGGGTTTTTTTTTTCTAAATTTGCATTTTCAGTGACCTACATGTTTGTATTGCCAGCTTGCAGAGTGCAACATGTACTTTTTTTTTTCTTTTGAACAGTGTTTCATTTGTTGTAATAATTCTTAAGGTGCTTGTTTTTCACTAATAAGACACAGAATATGTTCAACTTCCTGTATCATTTGAATCTGTTTTTCCTTCTTGACTTCTCCGTTTCCTGTAAAGTGGCAGTCTGGTATTAAAAGTACCTGACAATTTCCTGAATAATAACACTAGTTTGAAAGTTCAGAGTCAAATTTTGCAACCAACTGCTGAAAATAAGCAAATAGTATCCTGCAAAGGTCTGATACACAGTTTTTCCAGTATGGTTCCAGAACAGGAATATCAAATAGAAGCGTGTTATACCTCAGCCAGTATTATTAGCTGCTTGATCAGCCTTGGTCTTGTTTTGCTGATTAAATTTCTTTTTAAGTGTTACTTCTTGCTTGAATTTAGAAAACTCTGTTTCTCCTGCTTTGTTTATTAGAATAGCTGATATGAAAGGAGGAAGGAAATAAAAATTTATTTAAGTGTATAAGGTTTTTCTCAATATATATATCTCCAGTATAGCTATTAATGTCTTTTAACATGAAAGCTTTCTGTTGTTGATCTGTTTGACTCTGTTGTATCAAGATGTAGCTGGTATCTTCTGTATTGCAGATTGCTTTGTTTTGTTGAAAATGCAAATCACTTCTGTTTGCAATATTTGATACACTTGGCAGCAGAGAAGGTGTGAAGGGTAAAATGAAAAAAGCAATTAGCTTTTTACTTCATAGGTAAACTTCCACCCTAAAGTAACAATAAATGCTGATTTAAAAATAAAAATTAAGGCATGCTTACTGTTTCAGTGTTTCCTGGTTTAAACCATACTTTAGTTTTCTTGACTGAATAGTAGCAAGGAAGGATCAAGAAACACATATGGTGCAGATAATTTTGTTTCAAGATAAAATGTTCTGATGAGCAAAGCTCTTGACAAATATGGACAAGCATCCAACAAATTAATGTTGCAATCATTTGTTTGCAGTGTGTTTTTATTAAGGCACATAAAATTGTTCAGTAAGATTCATCTGTGTAGGATTAAAGGACTTGTGCATTGTATACCAAGGGTTTTTTTCACTGTTCCCCCAGAGTTTCTGTGGAACTAATAAGGTTATCGGAATTTTGATTTCCTCATAATGATATCTCTTACATGTATCTTTTAAGCTTACTCTGTACTCCTCATGCCAGACTCATTCCATACAAATTATTCAGAGATATAAAACTGATTTTCAGATATCTATGTCCTGTCTAAACTAGAAAACAGCTGTTTTTAAAGCCATGTGGGGGAGTCAAGAATTCACTGAGTTCTGCAGTCACAGAAGACTCCTACAGGGCTAAGTCTAGCTCTATCCTTAATTTGCAAAACTGCTTAGAAAAGGCCTTTTTTTTTTTTTTCTTTTTTAGTGGCACTGCTGTTGTCTATTGCTGCACTATAGGTGGCAAGTTCCCTCTGTAGAAAATGGGTTTTAATAAAGGATCATGGGTTTCAAGTTACACAAACAAAAAGTTAATCATTTAAGTTTTAGAAAAGGTTGATCATTTCAATGACATCTCATGATGCCATAGTGATTGTTTCTTGAGTAGTATTATTATAATGCTTACTTTCACCCCTGCTTGAAACTATGTTGTGTCATTACTATGGACTAGCTCTTCAGTTACAAGGTGATATAATAGTTTATGTATTATGCTTGTTTCCAAAGAGGAACTAATGATTTCTTTCTACAGAGCAAGGTCAGTTAAAAATTCATGTGGGATTTTCCAAAAGTACTCCTAGCTGAGAAGTGTTCTAAAAAGGATTTTCCTCTAGGACAGTTGGATGATTTAAACAGAAAGAACCAAAGAATTAATTGTTCCTCATGATTTCATGTGGTGCCTACACCTTTCAGTCTGTGCATTTATGAATGCACAATGTCAGACTTATTACACTGGTTGGCAGGTTTAATATATAACTGTGGATGGCCGTATCATGCCAGCATAGCTGAATCAACAAATAGCAGGGGAATTTGGGGACTTTCTGATGATAGATGTTCTGCTGTTATGTTAATATTTACAGACAGTAGAAAATGTTTGAAATGTTGGGACAGGGATTTTCTCCATGAGGTTGTCAGTGCTCAAGTGTCTTTGCTTCTTTTTCTATCTCATGTATGTCAGTTTTAAGTGAAAATTAGGCTTGGTTATTTTGGCTCTAAAGCCGTAGTAGGTAGTTACGTGGTTCAAGTTCTACATTTACATCTAAATCTAGAAAGAGAAGTAATCTCTGTGTGCCTTTGGTGACAAAAGGATGTAGCTATAACAAGTGCCATAACAGTGCAAACTGCAGGACTGACCTGTGTGTTTAAAACACCACCAGCAGCAAAGGCAGTATGTCACAAAGTCAGCCTCTTCTTTGGCTCGTTGGGAAGTATCCTGCCTTTGGGAGTTAGGTACTAATCCTCAGTGGCATCGGGGATGGAAGGGATCATTATCTGTGGCATGTATTTAGGCAGCGTAAAAGCAGATACGCATCAGTGTGATGTCCACTGTGGAGGGACAAAGTGATGCCTTAAATTGGGGAGGAAATGGGCAGAGCTCTATGCAAAGTGTTTTATAATTTCGGGTGTTTCTTACTTCCTCCTGCTTATACCAGGCCATCTACAACCATGTAATGTAGCAATCTGTGTGCCAGTTAGAGATGGTTTTGGGAACTGGTTAATTGTTTTGGGGTTTAGGGGCTCCGGTCTAACTAGTTGTTGGCATTAAGGAGTTGCATTTTTAAGCCTGTGAAGTTGAAGCAGGGCCATCAACAGCTGAACAGTATTGCCTGGAGACTGCTAAAATTACAGTTTTCTGGTATTTCTTCAACCTCCTCTGCCCAACCCTCTGTGATGCTTGCTGTTGAGAAAAGAGAAGGGCATAGAGGGAAAAACAAAGCACTTATAAAGAACTTTATTTCATATTTTTTCTGAGAGAGATAATGTTAGCAATTCAAGGAAGCCTGACTATCACCAAAAATTAGATGAGCGTTCATTTTCCCTGTCCCATAGCAGTGGCCCTAATCCTCAGAAGCAAGAGCTGACTTGCATGCTACTTCTAGTGTTTTTTCTAGATCTTCTGTGCTTGTATTTTGAAGAGTGACCTGAGGGAAGAGAGAGGTTAAGCAAAGCCCCTGTGCTGCTTGCTTTAAACATCGTGCTTTGAACACTGCAGAGCTGAGATGCAATAGGGTTCCTGCACGGGTGAATCCCTGAGAGGGAGGACATACAAATGCTACGATAGGCCTTCAGGAAGGGTAAGAGGCTTGATACAGAGTCTGAGCTTTTAGCAGCAAGGTAGCACTGCCAGGATGGATACAAGAGGGTTAGTGTTTGGTTTAACAATCAAAACCTAGAGGCTATGAGCATTTTCATCTGTGTTCATGAGCAAAACAGCACACAATTACAAGGGTGAGATGCCTGTTCTGGAGGACCCACTAACAGAGAGGAGGTGAGGGGGGGACTTGGCCACAGCTGGTTGCAGGTTAAATTGAATGACTTCAGGTACTAGGTAAGCTGCTAGATAAAGGGCACAACTAGTCCTACAGTGCTGCCAGACTTGCAGGGATATCCCACCAACCTCACAGAACCCTTTTTTCTTGACTTTGCTATGATGGGAAGAAGGAAACAAGAGGGAGCCTAAGATGGGTTCTCCTTTGGGAAGTGGGTGTGCAGGGTGAGGCCTGTCAAGAGGAAGAAAGAATGTAAGTGGTGGGAGTGTCAAGATGCAGGAGGGCCTCTGACTCAGGCAGGAAGGAAAATGAAGAAACGTAGCAGTTGAAGAAGATGTGGGGAAGTGGGACTGTGACTCAGGGTGGAGGGGAGGCAGTGGGATGCGAGTTGGTCTGTGGCAACCAAGGCGAGAAGACAGAAAAGGAAGCACTGAAGCATACCCAGGATGTGGCAGTCTGCACCAAACCCCCTCTGGGCTGGAGGACTGCATGTTTTAGTTGCAGTTCTTAGCCCTCCTGACTGCAGCAGTGCCAGGAAGATAGTGAGGAGTGCTCATGTCAAAACTTGGCTCTTGGCAACTCTGAGAGTCATCCCTGCGTAGAGGCCAGCTCCATGACTGGTTGCCACTTCAGCCTCTCTGTAGGGCAAAAGTAGAATTCAAGTTATGCATTAAGTAGCATTCCTTCTTGTGGTTGTTAAACACTTACAAGGGAGTTGCTTGTTAAAGAAGAACTTAGAGCAAGCAACCTTCCAGCATAGAGCAGAGGTGCAAAAGATCATCACAAATCTCGTCATTGTTAGTTCCTCTTACAAGGTGTACATCTTCACGTTCCTGCTGTCTATCTGCTTAGACCAGACATGCATACTAATAGAAACGAAATTAAAGTTAAGAACTTCCCTGTGCAAAACACTAAACATCTTTTCTTTTCCCCATGGGAAAGAATGAGAGAGAGAAAAAGAAGGAACCACACGCAGCCAATATTAGGCTGTCTAATGTACCTCTGGGAAGTATTCAGAGTTTAGTGAAGACAGCTGTATGAGACCTTTTGCTAAGTAAAATCCTTTTTATAGTCAAACTAATATGCCATTTATGCTTGGAAGTTCCCTTGAATATTGCTGCTTTATTTTTAAATAGCATTTCAGAAGTAATTAAATGCCTTGCATTAGAGTGCCTTCTCTGTACTGTTACTTGGATCTGGTTCAGATGTTATACCAGAATTACTTAGTCATTGTAAAAAAAAATGTTTAGTCACAAACCCCAAAGGTTAAAGTAAGACCTCAAAAACTTTGTTTTAAATATATTGGTATATGATTTATATAACCTGGATTAATGATAACAGACATCTAGTTTGCCTTTGTACATTTACACTGCACCTTTTTTGCACTTTCCTAGTATTAGTATGTAAGATATGTTGATTTTTTTTGTATCAGTATGCTTTTTATATATTTTGTATGCTTTTTATAAGCTTTTTCCCAAGGGGGCATAAGAACCACAGTCCTAAGTTTTCAGTTTTCCTGAGTTTTCACAAATGCCATGCAAGGTAAAACTACTTCAGCAGTACGAAGAATTTGCCTTGAGCTTTCCAATATTCCAATAGAGTGTATATCCCTCTCTTAGGAGTTTGAATTTCCTTATGTTGAGGGAAAGTTGGAACCTGGGAGTGCTGCAGCCACTTAGCTGTTGGATAAAAGAGTACTTCCTTTTCTGGCTAATGTTTAAGAGAAAGCAGTAGTATTTTGTGCTGATACTAACCCAACGTACATGCCTTGAAAATGAATTCCTAAGGGGAGAACAGCCAAAGAACAATTACTTGGCAGATCCTGCCCTGGAGGCTTGGTTGAAAGTTGAACTACACAGTTGTATTTTAGGTCCATTATTTCTGCCAGTGCCCAGAATATACAAGGCTTCTGGATTGTTAAAGTATAAAATTTTAGATGCCTAAAGCATGACAAGGGTTAGAGGTCTGTGAACAGAGGTCTTAAATTTAAGTGCTGATACAATGCTTAAACCCACCTCGACTCATCTTGACTCCATGTTACAGACAAAAACTGAAACATAAAACGACACCAAAGCTAGATATTACTCTACATCTTTTAAAGTTTTTGAAGTCCAAACTGCTTTTCATGCTTTCTAATGTAAGATGATGTGTATATGGTCTTGGGGCAATTGTTTTGCATGAGTTCAAGATTTTAATTGTAGCACTGTTTACTTTTTCACAGGAAGAGTGTTGGACTTGGGAAATAAATGATCTTTATGTGGGAAGTTGTCGTCACCGGCATTTGCAATGTAACTTTGGCATGAAGCTAATTCAGTTGCTGAGTCAGCTAACTTCAACAGCAAAATACTAATTCCATCTATTAGCATATTTATCAAAACTTTAATATTGAGAGAAGCCTGTTTATTGAAGACCTGTGCTAACTAAAAACATGAAGGTCTGTTTTATTAAAGTGAAGCTGTATTGAGGAGCTGAGAAAGATGCATATATTCATACTGCAAACCATAAATTAATGAATCCTCTGCCATTTTTAATTATCGGTGAATTTTAGGCCTATTGGCAAATTAAAATTGATGCAAGTATGTAGCTCTGTGCTGAAGCCAAGTACTACGTAGTTGAGGTAGCTGTATGACATGGTACTTGCAGATGGTGCAGTTGTTCAGAGGCAGATCGCACCTGCATGTTGGCAGGGCATGGTATGCTTTATGTGCTTGCAGGCTCTGCCACATAGCCGTGGCTTGTCCGCTTTGAAGGTTTCATGTGTCCCAGTGAGCTTGCTTGATTCCTTAGCATTTATACCTTTAATAAGAGTAAATGATACATAATTCCAACAGGAATATAGCTGGCAAAATATTGTGTAGGTATTCACAGTGAAGCTGTCATTTGGGATCTGCTTTAGTAACAATTGAATTTTTAGCATTGAAATCTGAATCATCTTCTCTGCTTAGCAAGAAGCAGGGAAGAAATCGTACCTCTCGGAACTGTCGTTTTCAGACTCAGGATTTGCTTGCATTTTAAGAGGTACTTCACAGCTACCCACCTAGAAAGCTTTCCTTCTCCATGTAAAAAATCTAAACGATCAGAGTTGGAGCTAAGCTTTGATCGGGTGATAAATTCTTAACTGTGGTGGCACTGAGTACTCGGATTTTAGGGCCTGCTCAAAGGCTGTTTAAACTGGTGAACTTTGAATTAGGTTTATGGTATGAAGTTAGCTGCTGTTCAGGGAGTGGTGCAAGACTGAAAGTTGTTTAAGGAAGCCTTCTTTGAAAATACAAATACAATTTTAATAGAACTTAATCCTATGTATAGGCATCATACTCAAAGATGGATCTCATTATAGAGTCTGCATCTGAAATAGAGTGTGTTCAGTGTTTTTAGAGGCACCAGTATATTTAAAAGTGTATCTGAAATTATTAAAAGAATGTAAATTGTTTAGTCTCCTCAATTCCAGGGATTTTTTTTAAAGCAGTTCTGACTGTTAGGGCATGTTGAGACAGCTTAAATTCCTCCTATATTCCCATACCTCAGAGCTTCCCATTGGCTGTCTCTAGACTTTCAAAAGCACCTATTCAGTAGGAAGCCCTAGGGCCAAAAGCTTGTGAGTATAGTCTTTAGAGCCCAAGGGGTTTAAGTACAAAAGTTAACCTTAGCTCAGGAAGGCCAGGCTGTTTGTCAGTGGCAAGGAGAAGATCCTGTTCTTATTCACCCTTGAGTCTTAACTGAGTGATCAGAGTTGCCCATTTAGGCCCTCTGAGCTAAAATTAACTTTTTTGAGTTAATACTTCCCTTCTTACTCCACTGGTCTTAGGGAATGTTGGAAATGACAGACTGCCAAGTGATTAAATTATTTATTAAAATTTAAATTCTGAAGATCCTTAGGTGCTTTCAAAAATTTTATCTCAAGACATTCAAGAACATCAATTTTACTCCTGCAACTTACACATCATAGTAACAGAACTATAATTTCTATTATGACTTTTCTTTCTTTTATGTTAGCAGATGGACCATATCTTCAAATCATAGAACAGCCAAAACAGGTAAGAACAACGCTACATTTTGAAAATCTTTAAGGTAGCTATGTCAGCATATTCAGCTTCAAATAAAATTATGACTTAAGATGAGAGAAAAAAAAGAGTATTGAAGAGGTTGAACTCTCATAATAAATGTGGCACTTAACTGTGAGCAGTTTTTCCTCTCACTTTTGTAGTTAAATCGTTTCCTGTTTTGTTCTGTTTTCATCTTTGTGTCTCTCTGGAAGTGTCATAAGACAAAAAAATACCTGAGGGTTTTAAAAAAAAAAAAAAAGTCTTGCTAAGTATAGACTCTTCATCTTAGAAGTGATTCTTACAGTATCCCAGTATTTTGAAATGTAAACGATTAGACCAAACATGGAAGGGGTTTAGAATTTGTTTCATGTTTCTTGAAACACATGAAAGAAAAAAGAAAAATATTTCATTCTGTTCCCAAGTTACAGGAACTTTTGACTTGTGCTTCGTCGTAGTAAAGAAATTCTGTTGTCCTTTGAGATTTATCACAGTTGGCTGTTTTGAATAACCCCCCCAAAATGAAAATAAATACTTGAATGTAACTTTTTTTTTGTGACTGTGTAGCAAATGCTCACTTAGGCTCCTCTGACAGTATGAAAGTCATCCCAGTGCACTGGTTAGTTTTCATGCAGCTGATGTACAAAGTAATTTCTGGGTTGAAGGTTGCCCTCAAGTATGCCAGGATATTGTACCCCTTTAAATGGTGGCATCAGCAATTGCAAGTATTCTTCCTGAAGCTATTACAGTCTGGAGACCCCTTTCCTGCTTCTCCTGATCAGTTGCATGGAATCTTACCTTATGGAGCTGTTAAGTACTGGGGAAGAGGCTGACTAAAAGCTGTTCCATCCTCTTGGTCTTCTGCAGAAGCATGCCGCAATCCAGTCCTTCTGGTAGGAGGTGGTAGAGAACATTTGTTTCAGCCACACACCAAAGACATTTTTGTGCTGGAGCAACCCTTCAGGAATAGGGGCACTTCATGGTCATAGGTGAAGCAGCAGCATAGTGTGAACTCTTGGAAGAATACGCTGCCTCTTCCTTGTTGTTTTAGTTCATGCCAAACCAGGCTGTGTCTTTGCATGATGGAGCCTACAGTGTGCAGTACCTAAGGAGAAACCAGTGTTTCCTTGCATGACTTCTCAGCAAGCAGCTCCTGTAGTGGAGGACCCATGTGGCAAGCTGGGTAATGGTTTATAACAGGGTGATGAGGGTGACCCATCAGCAGGGTGCTGTGCTTGTGATCATTTTTAGAGCAAAGAGGCAGCTGGGGGGTGTAAGACTGTATGTGTGAAAACATGGCTAGGATAGCAAGGGCAATAGACTGGGGAAGGCCACACAGGTGACTGCTGGATCTGTTGGATCGAAGGTATAGAGGTGAAGAGAGACTGGGTCATCTCAAGTGTAGTGATGGCAGAGGTTGCTTTGCCTTTTGGACAACTTAAGTTCAAGCTCGTCGTAGCTGGGCACTTCACTTGCAATACACTCGGTCACTCGGTTCACCATAGGAAGGCAAATACATGCTTAAAGATGAATTGCATTGTCTGGTCAATATCTGAATAAAAGTCAGATCTTTACATTTGCCTGGGAAGCAAGTTCTTAAACTTTAAAGGCTTTAGTGAGATAGGTGTTGAAGCTAATGATTACAGAGTAGTTTTTGAACCAGGTTGTTCCCTGTCGGCTAATACAGACTTTGAATTCAGAGTTGTTTACTATTAGAGAGAAGCTGAATGGTTCTTGATGAAGTATACAACACTAACTGGTGCTGTTTGGACAGACATTGGGAGCCCTATATAAGACGAGGATTTTGCCAGAAACTGCAGGACTGGGGAGTAGATCTGAAAGTATTCAAAGTTGGGGGCCCCATGAAATAATATAGTTAAGTAGAGTTAGAGTTCCAAACACATTTGCTTAAGAGTTGCATCTTTTGTGCCTTAGATTACCCTGTAAAAGGGATGTTATTTCCTATAAATAAAAATGGAATAAATGGACAGCTGTACTCTAGAGTGGTTGGTAATACCGTGCAGTTCCCTAAAGTATATTCAGATATCTATTTATGTAGCTGAGATGAAAACCCAACCATTCAAAGTCCCCTGAAGCTTTTGTGCTGTTTCTGGGCTCCGCTCAGAGATACAGCTTCTTCCCAGAAGAAGCATTTGTGTTTCATCCCTTTCCTTTTCTTTATGATGTTTTGGACTTCCTTGATTGTTATTGGCTTCAATTCTCTCTAGCTAGCAGCAATCATGGGAGAGAGTATCTGCTCTTGCATTCTCTATCTTTTAATTTTTATCTTGTTTTGAGAATATAAATAGATCTCTGCTTTAAAATATCTTCACTTACTGAAAGAAAAATCTCAGGTTGCTGTTACATTTAAGAGTGAGAATAGAACAGTTTCTCCAGGGCTACAGTTCAGTGGTGCTTTGTTAACCAGCACTTAGACAGCATTTCAGGGATGAACAGTTGTAACTTTTCTTTCTCTTTGTGGGCTGTTTGGGCCAGTCTTGTTTGTGTGTGTGTGCGCATGCACTCAGGTGCATATGTGCAACTTTTTTTTTGTTTCCAAACAGCTTTCAAGTTTCTTTTCCGTTATTTCCACAGAGGGGGTTTCGTTTCCGATACGTATGCGAAGGGCCTTCACATGGTGGACTTCCTGGTGCTTCTAGTGAAAAGAACAAAAAATCATACCCTCAGGTCAAAGTAAGTACATAAATCATTAATTTTGCGAACTGAATGCAAGTGTCATATATGTGTGTAGGACCTTCCTGCATATCAACATAAATTTGTATGAAATTACTCAAAACTGACTGCATTTCAATCCCAACTTTCAAAATGTAATTGATGTTGAAAAGGAAGTTGTCTTCAAATTTGTGGAGTTATTTTGGCACCGTATTTATCTGCCAGCAGCTGAGCAGTAAGCTTTCCTGCACCTACTGCCTCACTGCCCTCATGCAGACTAATGGAGCTCTTCCTTAAGGTGCAGTTTTAGCATAAAGCAAGGCCTAAGCTGCTTAATTACACCACTTCTAGCATATTGCAAAGCATGAGTCTGGTCAGTTATTCCACCTCACTCTAAGGTGCTATTTAGCAAGTTTTCCTTCTTTTTCTGTTCATGTTACTCCTTATTCCATATTTCTAGAATACTCGGTTCTTAGGGACTTAATTCCTTTAAAGTCAATGGAAAACTTTTCATTTTAATAGGAGCAGCGTTATGTTCAGGTGTTTGCTGAAAGTTTTTGGGGGCTTTTTTTCCCCTGGAAAAAATTCAAAGATGTTAATCAATGAAACATTTTGTGCTAGCACAATATGAAGATTACACCAGTGGTGATTAATCATTCTAGGATTAGAGAAGAACTGTCTTTGCCTATGGTTCTTGCAGCAAATTCTTTTTCCATGGAAAGGGAGAAAAGATACACTGTGTATCATGTATTCAGTATTTTTTTTAACTTAATGAAAGTCTTAGTCTTGGTATTGCATTACCTCTTTGAACTATCACACTAGAGATTGTCTCATGAGGAGCAGGGTTAATGTATTTTAATTCTGGTGAGAGCAGGGGAGGGAAGAGTGGGAAGCAGTCAGCCTCTGTCTTGGTGTGTGCCACTCCTCAGCTTTCTCTGCGGTATGAGTGTAATTCTTCTGTAGTTCTTGAGAAAGGCTGGAGTTTGGAACAGTTGCATCTCCATAATGAATCAGTATGAGCATGACTCAGTGGAAAATCATCAGCATTGGCTGAGATAGCCTAGGGTGTTAGTCTTGCGAATTGAGAAGAGGCTGGGAAAGCTGATTTCATATAGCCTTGCAAAATTGCTGTGAAAAAATTACTAGCCCAGGCAAAGGATCTACTTGCTTTTCCCTTTCCTATTGTGACAGTAATGATGAACTAATAAATGAAGTTTCACTGGTATGTTCAGATATAAAATAATTTACCTCAGTTGAGCCAGATCTTTGGATTCCAATCCAATCTGTATTGATAATAATACAAATGATACTTTATAAAGGTGTGATGGGTCGCACAATAGCATGACAAGGAGTTATACAATGAGGAGCTGTACAGGAAATGGAATTTCTCTGTGAGTGAACTAGAAAGCAAAATGTTCTTTGGCTTTCCATCAAACCTTCTGTTTTCATTGATCATCAGATTTTAATTTCATCTAAAACTTACAGACTCACACGTATATGTCCCTTCCCCTCCCTCCTTCGCGTCCTACTCTGTGCATCTGGGTTTTTTCTAGTACAAATCCCCACATGGCAACACCTGCTGGGAGAGGCTGGCAAGGGAACACAACAAGTAAATTCCTCAAGGCCATTGCTTGTTAGTGCCTGTTCTTGATTCAAGTCATGCCAGTAAAGACAGAAGTGTTTCACACCTTTTCCTGTAAGTCTCTTATGTGTTTTGTCAAAGGGTGCTCACCTTGTCGTAGCTGAGGTGAGCACAATTGAAGATTGCTATTTTTTGTTGCGTTGGGGGTTTTTTTGTTTTGTTTTGTGTTGTTTTTTTTTTCTCTTGTGCCAAGGCATTCAGCGTAAAATCTCCATTGATCACAGTGCTGTGAAAGGACAGTGGCATGAGCTTTGGCTGTACTGTAAAAAGGAGGTTTTGTGACAGATCTTAAACCTTGGCCATGGTGTCGTCAGTGCAGCTCACACTGGGATCTCTCTTCTACTTGGCCAACTCTGCACAGAAAGCTGATGTAATTTACCAGTAGCTACCACAGGATGTCCTGAAAAGAGACATCTTCAGTGCACAAAAAAGCATTGGAGTCTCCCTACTCCCTTTTCATAGGATTGTGGATTGAAGGCCAAAAGAAAATGCATTTATCTGATATGACCTCTTGCATAATGTAGACTGTTCAAATTGACTCTCTCTTTTTTTTTCCTGTACCCAGTCCCTAACTTGTAGCTGAGCTGGAACACGTCAAGATGTACCTTTCCTTTAAAGGCTGGAGGGCTGAAGACTTTGCTATGTCTCTAAGCAAGGTGTTTCAGTAGTCAATTACGTATTTAACCACCTCCTGTGTATATATTAGGAGATGGTGTAGGTCAGGAGTTAGTGTAGTGGTTCTGCAATGCTTAAGTATTTACACTTAAGACAAATCTGCACTGGCCAGCAAGGTGGAATTGATTTAAAACGTCTTGTTTTAACACCACAGTCATGACAAATGGAGTCTAGATAACAGTAGTATTTTTCTAGAATATAAAAAATTGAGTTAATTAATCTTTATGGTTTATGGAATTATATTCCTTTGTTTAACCCTGTCTTTGCTAACAGTAATCCTAATATCACGTACAAAACATCTTACATTTTCAGAGGATTTTATGTAACTTTGCATGTAGTTATGGAGAGCAGAGAAGTTGAAGATACTGAACATGTTATAATGAAGTTACATTTCATGACAAGCTTCATGATTACAGTAGAAAGCTACCTAAAATTCTACATTTCAATTTCATTTTTGTCTGCTTAGTGTATGTAGCACAACGCTGGAAAATGTTGCTATCTAGAACAGTTGAAAACAAAGCTCCTGAGCTGCTTATCCATCATTAGCTTTTTGTCCAGGGGAAAAAACAATTAATAGTATAAGAAGAAAGAATAAAACTGGGTTGTCTAATATCACCAGCTTACTTAACTATCTAAATTTTTTATTCATAATTTGCTTGGTTTTATGTATTTGAAAAATTGTGAGAAAACTTGCACAGAAAATTTCCGCTGGCCTTCTTACACATTTACCATGTGTGTCCTGATCTTGCATACTGAAGTTAGCATAGGCATATTCATGTTTTACACTGAAGTACTTGATCCAGTTTTGAGTGTGAAAAGAATTTGCTGAAAATAGTGGTGTGAAGGAAATGTCCTGAATTTTCATCTCCTTGGGGGCAAATCTATGTGGGTGGCTGCAAACTCAAGTTGCCTGTTCTCTGTTAGCTGGATGTAAATCAGCTCCAGCCCAGAGACTGAGTAACCGATTGCTCAGAGGTGTACTTGAGCTAGTGAGCACCATCCCTCTGCCGAAGGATTTGGACATTGTGCAGTTCAGTTTGTGAATCGAAGCTGCATACCAGTTAGGCAGCCCTGAATCCAGGTACCCGAACAGGAGAACTGCCCATCCAGTCATGTCCTGGGGCTATACTAAATTATACCTCAATTTGGAGATAAGCATTCTTATTGAAATCGGGGATTTCAGCACATCAAGTTCAAGAGGGGAATTTATGGAAAATTAGTCAAGTTACTTTGTTGATGAGCCTTCTTGGTAAAAGAAGGAGCAGCATGTTTGCTTTTTCAACCCCCACAAGAATTAAATCGTAGAGTGATAGCTTGCTGATTACAAGTTAAAAATTCATTTAACAGCTGAATTAAGGAATAAACATGAGACAAGAATGAGCAGACACTCTGTTATAAATCTTTACCCTTCTTAAAAACCTGCACTGCACCAAATTCAGCCAAAGCAAAATTCAGTGATATATATGCTTTTTACTGCTATTGTTAATTTGGCTGAATATGGGGCACCAAGTCCCTTTGGTTGGGCTCCTAAAGCAGAGCACCTAACTCTGTATTTTTTGGCATGAGAGTGACTTCACATTCAGAGGATCAGAATATCTTCAGCTCCCATTGGTTTGAATTACATTGCTTATTCTTAGACCTTTAAGTATTCAGTTGCCTAAAAAATTCGTACCACATCTGAAGTATTTTGTCTTAAACTAGCAACTGAAAAAAAAAAAATGATGCTGCTCTGTGAAAACATACTGTTTATAAAGAGTGAGTGATGCCTCATCTATGGAATGCTTTTTGTATTCATGTATTGAGGACAGCACTAGTCACACTCTGAAGGTTAGGCAGAATTGGGGCTATAGTTGCTATAACAAAGTTATTAGAAAGAGAAATAGGTATTTTTGTAGTTGCTGGCTTTGTAGGTTTGCCGTGGTCTTTTCCATCATTTGCTTTCTGTCGTTGACCAGTTGGTTTCACTTCTTGCTTGTAAGAGTAACTGGAAAAAACATCTTTGAAGTAGGAAAATGTTCTTGTGAAGTTTTTGTAAAGTTTCAGAAACTATAAAAAGTTGGCTGGGGTCTGGATTGCAGGAGGATGTGAAATATCTGAAAAAACTTTCAGCTCTTATTTTAAAATTGACTCGATTTCAAGTTCACAGGGTCCTTTTAAATCTCTCAGACAAATCTCTCTCAAACAGAAGCAGCAGATAAATGTGCGCCTGCAGCATTTTAACTTTATCAGGTTAGATCAATTGAATGCTGCTTCAATACAGGATGTAATCAAGTATTACAGCTATGCTCTTCCCAGGAACTCCTTATTTTCTTTTTTCTCCCCTATCTTTAATTTGAAGTTCAGTAGTTATTTTTTCAGATCACAGGTCTGATTTTGAGCAGTACCGCACCCACATGCTATCTCCGTCTCATGTTGAGCGTATGATTTTGTGTCAACACCATAATCCTTAGGTTTCTATAGATACTCAGCATTGTAATATACCATCTACCTTTTAATGCCTTTGACAGTGTTTTTCAAGTTCTTATGTTAAAGGTGATAGTTATTTGTATATCTTAGTGCCAGAATAAATTTTAAGTTATTCTGAAATTGTGGCACCAATGATTCAAAGACACTGAAAAATTATTTCAGACTTTAATTTATGGTACATAATGATATTTAACCACTGAGGCTATTTTGCTGGGCATGGAGATAACCTGGATGTCTCAAAATCAAGTAGGAAATTCTGTCTATAAGAAATACAGGTAGGAAACAGTTCAGGGACATTCTGTAGCCTTTGCAGCATAGGACATCAGACTGGATGACAAAAATAGTCCTTTCTTGCCTTATGACCTACATAAGGTATTACGTTTTAAGAACTCTCTTGTTTTTCCCCTGAGAGAGACTACAAAGATCATGCTGAGCTGAGTAACAAGGGGAGATTGCAATCTGGTTACCACTGCAGTTATATGTTCTGCTTTCAGAGGCTGGAAAGTCCTTGACGTGCAGCAGTCCTACCTACAGTTTCACTGTGGTTTCGACAGCTGATGAAGGATTGTCTTGAACTTTTCTGATATGATACTAGAACATGCATGTTACTCATAGTGAATGTAATGCTGTAGATGTGCTGGGAACTTTTTAGCAGGAAAGGCTTGTTTAGTGAGGGATAAAATGAAAATAATTTTTTAAAAGCCCCCCTCTTGAAAAGTTAATTGTATTAGAGGTGGTGACATGTAGCACCAAACACAAAAATTTTTATTTTCAGATGAATTTGTGAAAGTTATGTAGGGATCTCCGCATTTTCTCACTGCTAGTAAATGGTGGAAATGGTGAAGCAGTGATTATTCTACATCTCTGTATTGTTTCAGTCCAGGAGGGATTGGAGTTCGGGAACAGGAGGGAAGCATGAGTACCCCATGTTTTGTATTTTAGAAGCTGCAGCTTGTAAAATGCACGTTAATACAGTATTATATAGTTAACTAGCAGGCAGTGAGTAATGAGAGGACTTTTGCACACCTGTTCCTCCTGGAACAGCTTTTTCATAGTTGGGATTTTTCTTGCTTTTAGCAGTGAATAGGAAGACTGGGAGGGCACGCGTTGTACGTATGCAGAGTGTTTCAGCTGTGATGGAATGGGTTCAAGAGAGGGGTTAACTGGAGTGAAGGAAGCTAGCAGGACTTAGTAATGTGGTGAAATTGTGGCAATCCCTTGTTATCAGCATTTTATCAACAATATATCCTTAAGTATTCAGTTCATCACTGATTCATCACTTTAATGTTTATCGTGATCCTTTAATACCTTGGTTGATTAGATCTGTAAGCTGCTGTAATACAAAGAACTTTGCCCAAGGCAAGTTAGAAGAAAAATTAGAGGAGGAGGGAAAAAACCCAGCATTGATAAAAGGGTTAATTAAGTGAATTGGAAGGGAAGGTAACGTTTGCTTTTTTAAAAGTGGAGTAATTTTATATTCAGCATAATTTGAAAGTGGTGCATAACTGATAACTGACTTGAAGAGTATTACTATGCAAAGTAAACTTACCAGTACGGTATGTTATTAGTAATTTTACAGGGGTTTTTGAGGCATTACTTGACATCACAATTTTAAAAGCTATTAAAAAATGTATGGTGATTAGAATCTATAACAGGGAAAAAAAGCTTTGTAGTCTTCCAGAGTTGGCTATACTAAGGCACCCAGTTTATCATAGTTCCAGTCCTGCAAAATCTTAGGTGGGGATTTAGCATATATCCTCATGTACACTTAAGGGAAATACGTAGCGGGCTGGGTAATATATGTTGATTTAGCATATTGAACTAACAAAACACCTATGAATATAGAATTAATTCACTTTAAAATCTGTACCTGAAGAGTCATTGCAATGAGACCAAAATGTTTTAAAACAATCATAATATTTAAAAATAATTTTTTAAAGTGTTTTCAAATTGGGCAAAATAATGTAGGGGGTTTTGTTGAATACGTGCATTTTCTATATGCTTCTTAACATGTAACAATGTGTATTGTGAATTTGATGTACTGATTGAAATTTAAGGAGAGCAATGTGGAGTAACTGGCCAGAATGTAAAACTGAGATTCATGATTTGGGAAATAGAAGGTTGCTTTCCTTAGCTTTGTTTTATTTCTTAACTTTTTTGATCACTACTCCTGCCATTTGTATGTCAAGTTTAGTTACAAAAAAAGTGTTGGCTTTTCTTTTTGATGATCTGGTACAGTTAGTTTGTTGTTTGTATTTCATGAGGAAATGCATACACATTTCTCCTATTTAAGTTTGATTGTACTCAGCTGACAGAAAATACTCAACAGGAATCATTACTTGTTCCATTAAAACAAACAAACAATCCCACTTTTTTTTTTATTTGTTTGTTTACAGATCTGCAATTATGTTGGACCTGCAAAAGTAATCGTCCAGTTAGTTACTAATGGGAAATATGTCCACTTACATGCTCACAGCTTGGTGGGTAAATTTTGTGAAGATGGAGTATGCACAGTTAATGCAGGACCTAAAGATATGGTTGTAGGGTAAGTCTGCCAACTCATTTGTAAAGCTGGGCTAAAAGAGAGAGAACCAAGTATAAACACTGTAAGAAGCAATACAAAGCAATACTACTAAGAGGCAGCTCAGTGGAACGCTAGTCTTCACGCTCTGATCTGTGTTTTGTGTGTATCTTAAATAGAAGAATAAATGGGGTTTCTGTTTACCTTCGTAGAATTTGCCCTAAGCAAGCTAAATACGTTTAAGCAAGTAATTTTCACTTAGAATTTGTAGAGTTTCAATCTCCTGGTGTGCAGTCCAAATTTGTATTGTAAGCCCATTCTTTAAAATGTAAGTAGTTTCGATCAAAGAGAGGGACTGTAAAATTACTGAAGAAAAGCTTTTGTTACCATTTTGATCAATATTTTACTTTTACTAAAGTCTGCCAATAGGGATATAGTGAAAAGCGTTAAGAAAATAAGGTTAGTAAATTTTAAATTAATGCAAGACGCGTATAAACATGAAAATACTAAATGAGTCAAACTTTTTAAGTTTAAAGCAGTAGGATTGTAGTGAAATTGTAGTTGGTCTGTTCTTGTTTAATTTAAAAGAATAATTGTTTATATCAGTAAATGGAGCTGAGGCTCCTGTCTATGTTTTCAGGCTTAGATCAGGTTTCACGCTGGCTGTGAGTTTCAGTTCTGTGATCTCAAGAATGTCTTTGTTGGTGAAGAAGATGAAGGTTAAAAAGCTGAGAAGGTTGGGAGAGAGAGATTCTTTTAAACTGTAACTTTTGATGTCCAAGCCCAGTGCACTAACTTTACCAAGCGCAACAATTTAAATAGCTTTATTTGAAATTCTCCTTTTCATCTTGAAAAGTTTGGCTCGTTTCCTAACCTGTCGTGTTTTTCATCAGATGTTTAGCAACAGCTTTCCTATCCTCAGTTGACCCACATGAAAATTGAGTTATTGTCTTGTTTTCATACTTCCAGATCTAATTGATTTTTAAATGTGCCAGGAGATTTTTACAAAAGCAGATCTTGTATTATGGAAGTTTTCATTCAAATAGATACCTGAAGTGTCTCGCTGAATGTCCAGAGCCTTGCCTAAAACATTTTCTCTGGAAAATGTTGCGCTGTTTTTAGCTTCTTCGCTTGCTTTCCAAATCATTTTGATCGGATGGAGCTCATTCTGAGCAGTTGCTCTGTGTAACAGCCATATGGAATGACATATTAATGTCATTGCTAAGACAGAGCAAACCAAGTGTGACAACCAGGTTTTCAAATGTTTTGTAAGTTGCTTCCACAGTGTAAGTCTAAAACCTAATAGATTACTACTTATGCCATGGGAAAATGCTGTGCACCCATATGATCACTGCCATATAATGGTGCACATTTTACGTGTTTTGTAAGCTTGGCTGAATTTTTCTTGCTGGAAGATTTGCCCTCAAGAATTAAGAGCACCTAAGTAAGCCTATAGAGTCGTCCATTGACTTCAGTTGTGTAGCTGCCTCTGGTAAGAAGGAGACTGCCTGCTGCAGGTTTGGTATAAAGCATTAAGAAGAGCATTATTTCGCTTGATCAAAATTTGGCAGGTTTGCAAATCTTGGAATACTTCATGTCACAAAGAAGAAAGTGTTTGAAACTCTGGAAACACGCATGATAGATGCTTGTAAAAAAGGATACAACCCAGGACTCCTGGTGCATCCTGAACTTGGCTATCTGCAGGCAGAAGGATGTGGAGACAGACAGCTAACTGGTATGTAGAAATGATGGCCTGGTTTTAATAGGTCTTTTACTAAAAACCGGTTTAACTTCTGGAAACACAGATTCTTAGCCAGAAAAAGGCCTTGGGTAGGAAAACAGCCTATGGCTATGTGTCTTAAGAGGTGGTGTGTTGTTGACATGTTTTAGGGAATCCCAAAGAGTCTTTGCTGTAAACATGCACATGAGAATGGAGCAACTTCCTTCCATAGCTCCCTGTACCCACATCTGCACCTATATTTCATTGCTCTTACCCTGTTTAATCAGCTGATAGAGTCATTTTGCATTATTGCTGCAAGACATGATATCCTTAAATAGCTTAGGGACCTTCTTTTGAGAATACTGTTTCTTTCAGCTGCATTTCACCCATATCCCTGTAAAACCTGTTGTCTGTGTTGCTTTCAGGCACTGTAGAGAGGGGCCAGCCTTCTCTTTATCACTCTAATACCAGGCATTCAAGTGTCCTTAGTGGCAGCCTATGTCCTTTTTACAACCTTTATAATTTGAGAGCAGAAAATAGTAATTTTCTGTATGTCTCTTAACTACATACATTATCTTAAATAATATCTGATGCACAGACTGCAAGATGAATGCAGTATATTGTGAATAGCTGATCCTCTCTGCTTAAAAAGAAAGAAGCCAATGGATACTAAATGAAAACATTTCCTTGCTATTAGTGCCTTTTGATAGCAATGTTTGGAAAATGCTTTCTCTGTTTTGTTATGGGTCCCCTACCCCTTGTGTTAATTCATCTGCCTACTTACTGATTGCAGAACGAGAAAGAGAAATTATTCGTCAGGCAGCAGTACAGCAGACTAAAGAAATGGATCTCAGTGTGGTGCGTCTTATGTTTACAGCCTTTCTTCCTGATAGTAATGGTAGTTTCACACGGAAGCTTGATCCTGTTATATCAGATGCAATATATGACAGCAGTAAGTATATTTGGCTTTAATTACTTTTTTAATAAGGGGCAAGCTTTTGTACATACAAAAAAGATATGTAGATAGTGCTATATGTAGACTCATCTAGCCCAGCTGCTTGCCTGTTATTTGATAAATAACAAGTAAATAGCCCATGGATAATTGGTCCCATGTCTATCCAAGTACACATGGTATCATTCTGGTTTTTAATAGAAGGTGATGTAAACCATAAAGGAAGATTTTATTTTGCTGTTAGCATGTTTAATCCTGCCACTGTTGTTATGAGGATTTTGTGAATTCTTGATGTATATTCATAAGAAATGCTTGAATTTTGCAGAGTTCTCGGTTGCTTTCTATGGCAAAGCCCTGTCACAAAAGATGTGAGGAAAAAATGCTTCAATCATGTTGAGAATTTGACACCTTTCAGTTTTGCTGGCCATCTGCTTGTCCTTGTTTTGTGAGAATAACACAGCCAGAGTTCTCAATCCACTTCCTTTAGACTCATCAGTATTTTTTATACTTCTGTTACATCCCTCTATTTATCTTATTTGTCTTTTTTCTAAGTGGATCTTTTCACTTCATGTTTTCCCTTGTGCTTTTCAATTATACTTACTCATCTTACCTGAACCCTTTCTGCTGCCTGTGTTGTCCTCCCTGTAGCTGTGGATTACCATGTTTCTGATAGTCATTCTGTAATGACTCAGAAAAAGTACCATTTTTTTTTTCTTCATGCAACAGTCATGTCTATATCATCGCTTTTTAAGGACAAAGTCAAGATGAAAAGGTATTAAATGCAGCTCTTCCAGTATAGTCTGTGGCTTGCTATTAATTGGGGAATGTAGTGATGTAGCACAGGCATTTTGCATATATTCACTGAGTGAAAAAAAGTGATGTCTGCTGTTATTATGGTATACGTGAGCTGCATTTTCTGGATGAGAAGACACAACCTTTTCATCTGGAGGCTGAGGTGATTTACCAAGCAGTGCCTTCAAGGAATCTTGATTTTTCATTAGAACAATTACAGATTCCATTTGTTTTCATTACTCTATCTCGCACCTGCATAATGATAGAGAATATTTGTAAAGCAAAGACGAGGAGGAGGACAAAGCATCATCACAGGTAGAGCAGGTATCAAGACATATATAAAACCAATTGAAGTGATCTTATCCTTTTGAATCTGACCATCAAAATTTTAACTCCAGCTAAGGAGATGAGTAGAGGGGAAACTTTGCACGCATGTTTCTCCTGTTTTAAGTTGCTACATAGATGTCAGTTGCTGAGCTCCCAAGGTGAATTCTTGGTTGTTAATTCCAAAAGATTTTTCTCGGGTTTTGTTTTTTTCTGATGTTCTTCATTGGTACCCTTCAAGCCTCTTCCACAGAGCAGACACAACTTGTGGTAGCATAACTGTCTATCACAGCTGCTTTTACTTACCAGATGATAGTTCTGTCTTGAGGACCAATAGGTATCCATTGATGCCTCTACTAAGGTCTGTGGAGGTGAGCTTTTTTTATCACAGTCCAGTATGTTGGCCAAGGACTGACAATGCTTTCAAGTGAGCCACAGTGTAAAGCAAAGCATTGCATATTGCATTGAAATAGTGAGATCCAGGGAACAGCTCTCAAAAGCGTCCTGCTGTCAAGAAAGCACGGAAGAAGAAATAATGTTCTCTTGTAATGCGCTCTTGTCATAAAGTTAGTATTAGTGCAGAGTGCTGGATGCAATTCACTGCTGTGCTACTTTACTAGTGCAGTATTTGTGTTGGAATGGCCAGGGCCTTATTTTATAGTTCACAGTTCAGTCAAAGCTTAGAGGATACAAGATTATGCCTTTCAGCTGAAAAACTGTGGATTTATTAATGTTTAAAAAAACAGACAAATTTAGGTAGGTTGTATTGGAGGCTTGTCTTTCTATTGCATTTCTGTGTATTGTGCTTGGTTTATTTTTGAAATCTAAAACTGTTATGAAGGCAAGCATTTTTTTTAATCTTTCCTTTCAATAGAAGCTCCCAATGCCTCCAACTTAAAAATCGTAAGAATGGACAGAACGGCAGGGTGTGTAACAGGAGGGGAAGAGATTTACCTTCTCTGTGACAAGGTTCAGAAAGGTAAGAGTCCTGAGTATTGTAAGGCACACCAGGGTGTTCATCTGGAGTACACATGAAGCCTGCTGTGGTGCCTCAGTATTCTCCCACTCTGATAACAGCAGGACTTGTAAGCACTTAGCCTTTCTGGAAGTCAGGCCAGCAGTCCAGAAAATAAATAAAGTAGTCTGTTGCAAAGCAAATTCAGCTTGTGTTGCCTGCACAGAGACCATGTGATCATCTTTGTTGTTCTCCAATTTCTGCCCTTGCCCATGTTCTGGGTTTTTTTTGTGGGTGGGGGGTCCTGGGTGATGTTTGACTGCATTAACTAACATCTGCTCTGAATTATTCTAAAGTTTCTGATTTATTTTTAAGTTCCTGATTGTAAAGAGTAAGTATGAGCATTCTTTATTAACCACTGATGGGAACTGAATGTGTTCAGCACTGCTGCTAGTAACTTCATTTTTATGTATATGCTAATGGTAGAGATCACTTGGTGTAAACAGGTACTTCTCACAGACTCATTTTGGTAATTTCTGCTCATGGCTATGAATGTGTGAGGATTGGGCAGTGTGGATTTGGATGCTATGGTTTTGGATAGGAAGATAATGGTTAATGTGATTGGTTGTAGTATTTGGGCTGAAGTAAAAAGAAAAAAATGGTAGTGAGAGAAATTCTTTGCATTTTTCAGCTATAGGTAATACCTGGGACTCCCTGGTGTAGATTGCACAGTGGAGCAGGTGTCCAGTTCTCACCTGTTTGGAATCAGTCCCTGCATGTTAAAATCACGCTGACGGTTTTTATTAATGTAGGCTGTCCTTTTCCACCTCTCTTTCTTGCAAATGTTCTTCTACCACTTTGGAAAGAGAGAGGGCTTGGGGGGCTTTTAGGAACTTTGAAAAAGCTCTTTTCTTTCAGTAGTGTATATACGCTCTGCTATTAGAAGGACTGAGATGAAATGTAACTCGTGTGCACAAAATAAATAAATAAATGTCTGACTCAGTGGAAGCCCTGAGGTGGGGTTTCCCCTCAGCTGGATCGGGGTTTCCCCTGACCTCATTGCTCTCAGAAACCTCCTGCCTGAAGGAACTTGAGCATGCAGGACAGCAGGACTGGAAGTGGTGGTTCACAGTCTTGAGACTAGCAGGTGGTGGATCGGAGGAAGCAGTCTCAAAAGCCTGTCCTGCGTCGGTCACCCTAAGATAGAATAGGCTTTTTCTGTTTTTCTCACCAGGAGTGCTGGGGAAAGAAATATGCTAGTGTGATATTTCCCAGCTTCTCCTAAAAATATAAATAAATAAATACAAAGGGAATGAAATAAAATTTGTTTGAAGGAGCAGAAGCCAAATCACATGTTTCTGGCCCGTGCTGTGTTTGGGGGGTGAGGGATGACTGCTGACATGCTGCTCACTCACACCCTTGCCATCTTTCTCAGCCACAGCTCCGAAGTGGCACTCTGCCAGCAGCAAGCGGAACTTGAACTGTGGCACTTCAGGTTTTGCTACAGTTTTTTGAACTGAAACTGTTGGAGTAGAGAGGGCGGTTTCTATGTTTCATGCTTCAAGTTCTCCCCTCCCTACATGCTTGTTCCAAATAAAGCTCCTCTGGAATGTTTTATAGCCCTAGAATAGGAAGAGGTAGTGAACCTAGTTCTCCTTTTGCTGCTCAGTAAATAGAGAGCAACTTCAGTGAAGTCATTAGAATTAGGCTGATCTACAATTGATGTCAAAAATGGGTTATCTATGATGTTTTCATAAAATAGATAAAGATAACGCATGTATTAGTCGTAATGTTATCATCCAGCCAGAAAGTAACCATGTTGATTTTTATCTGAAATAAAGTTCCCAAAGGTTAAACAAATGCACAAACTTCCCAAAGGTTAAACAAATGCACAAACATCCCAAAGAGAGTTTCTTTCACTCTTTGCAGATGATATTCAAATACGTTTTTATGAAGAGGATGAGAATGGTGGTATGTGGGAAGGCTTTGGAGACTTTTCTCCTACAGATGTACATAGACAGGTAAGTAACAGAGCATTTGTTATTTGTTAATGATTTTCTCATCTCTGTAAACTAGGATTATATTATAGGTAGTAAATTAGGTGAAAGCATCTGTATTCCGTACTAACCACTTCTTTTGTTGGTTACCTCCTAATAATAATACAATCTTAACTGTTCTTTAAAGACGTACATTAGGTAACTAGGCAGGTTTGGAATACAGTGCAAGGAAATTGGGAGATAGACCCATTGCTTTAACATGCACCAGTATAAATTGGGACAGGATATATAAGAAGCTCTTGGAGCTCCTGTGAACACACTGAGAAAGCCACAGAATGGATGCTAAATGATGAAGGGACAAACAATGCTGTACTAACATAGGTGGTGTGGTGATACTTTTCATGGCAACTCTGTCTTTCTCAAAAGGCTCTAGGACTCAAAAGTGCAACTGAAAACTGAAATGGAAGTTTATTGTTGTAGCAGCCTTTTGCTAAGAATTTTTGCTTCCCAAGCCTTGAATCAACTCCTACAAAATAACAGAAATATGAAAGCAAAGTTGTCAAAACCTATGCTCCCTTATAGATGTGGTTATCATTGTTTCCTTCACAGTTCGCTATTGTGTTCAAAACACCCAAGTATAGAGATGTCAATATTACAAAGCCAGCATCTGTATTTGTACAACTGCGTCGGAAATCTGATCTAGAAACGAGCGAACCAAAGCCTTTTCTCTACTATCCGGAAATCAAAGGTAATTCATTAAACCTGTTTTAGATATTGGAAACAGAAACTGCAAGGTCCCTAGGGGTGTTTTTAATAAGATAGGACTTGTTGGATGAGGGGTTGGTTTTTTTTTCAATTGTTATTTTTAGAAAATAGGATATTTGTGTCCTTGTTTTGTGCGGAGCTAATATGAAAAGTGGTAGCTCTGTAATGAGCTTGTAGGTTTTTTGTTGGACTAGTAGGCAGCAAATCTGTGAGTATTTTCCTAGTGAGGCTTACTCCTTGCGTTTCCTGTATGCATGCATGCATGCCTGTCCATACAGTAGATGGCACTCTCTTCCTCCGAGTTTCTGCAAAATGGTATCTTGAGGACATTTTGCCGTCAGTACAGATGAAACCTTAAACCAAAGACTGGTTGGTATCTCGTGGATAAAGTATGTATTTTGCAGTTCTCTCCTTTTACCATCATGCCTCACAATTCACTCATGTTTCTGAATTTTCCAATTGCTTTCACTTCTTGTGAGAGCAGGGAAAGTGCTGGTTCAATCTTTCGTGTTAAAATATTAGTTGCTTAGCAGAAGTAGAATAGTTGGCATCAGACCTGCTTCCTAAGTTTTTAGTGAAAAGAAGCTTAACTTGCTGATCTGTGCCCTTTAAAGTCTACATTTGAAATGTTTGACATGAATGGCAGCAGCAATCATGGTTTTAAATATCAATAATGTTAATGATACAGAAATGCCTTGAAGCCCAAGTCAGAATTGGTGTTTCATTGTACTAAGACAATTTTTCCCTTAACAGTTTACCCACCTGCAGGTTACACTATTAAGTTCTAATCTTGCAGTTTTCAGTACCTGATGTTTTCAGTGCCTGACTTAGAGCTGTGTTGAAATCAATACCCTGTCAAAATCTCTAAAATATGTGTGCATCTGTGGTAATGGACTAAGGACAGCTGAGGAGAGAGGGGTGGTGGTTGATGTCCAAGTGAATCTACTTTATGCCTATTATAATAAACTAGCAGAAAGCATGCATTCACAAAAACTTCCATAGTTGCTAGAGGATTTTGTATCGGTAATGATTTCAGGAATCTCTTGCACAAGCTTTATGGAAAGTTAAGTGTACAACTGCAGAGCAAAGTTGCCAGATTTGAAGCAAACCTCTTAAGTGCCTCTTAATGGAGTAAAATTAATTCAACATTGTTATGTGCATTTTCAGATCCCCCGCACAACCTAATCATGAAATTACCATTTAGGAACTGGTTTTTTTGCCTTGTTGCAAGTGTTCATACAAACTTAGACGTGTATGTGGATTTTTTGTTTGTTTCTCTGACTAGATTGCTCTCTAGAGTTTTCTCTCCTCGTCAGTGTGAGTATGCCTGGTGTATGCATGCATACATACTTACAGATCATGTATGCCTGGAAATAATGCACTTGTACTTTTCAGTATACTGTTTCATGTATTCAGCTATCTCATTTGATGCACTGACTGATGTGCCTGTGCATGAAATTTCTTTTTGTCATATGGCTGTTGAAAACTACTAGATTGTTTAATGAACCAAGGATATTTTGTTCTTTCCTCAACAGTTCTACTGGATTTTAACCCCTGTAGTGTTTGTATCCCTATTTTTGTAGCTCTTGTCGTGACATTTTCACTTCCTCAGTCACTGGGATACTTCTTTTAAATTGTGTTTTGCTTTCCAGGGGGGCTACGTATTATTTTGTACTTACACTATAAAATATTTAGGCTTTTTTTCTACTGTGGCTCAGCATGGTTTGACAGTATTATGTCCTGCCTGCAAATAAGCTATCTTTATTCTGGTGGCTCTTCTGACATTTTAAGTAAATCATGTCAAGCAAATGTTGTTTTCATCATTTCTTGCCATCCTTACCCTTACACAAAAGTTCAAAGGGCACCGCAGGTACTCTGTACTGTTGGAAATTAAAGTGCCTTGTGATTTGCTGACCCTTTGATAAGGGTCCATTTCTGAAGTAGATTTGCTTAGTGGAAGAGCCTGTGCTTATATTCCCCAAAGGCAAATTTTCTTGAACAAGTTTGTGGTTTGGGGCACTTGTGCTGGTTTATGACTTGGCTTTAGACGTAGAAGAATTTTGGGATCACTGATTTCCAGGGCTCTAAGCACATGAGACACTTTTGAAGGAAGCTCTGAGCCCCCTAAGACATCTCTGCACATTTCCCTCCCAGTCTGAGCACAAGGCACCTGACATAACTGAAGAGACCATGCAGGCTGGAGCGATGCTGATGGTCTGGCTGGGGACTTGGCGCTAGCTTGTTTCTCACAGGAATTCTCACTGCTCCATTACATACAAAGTTGTTCTGTTATTTGGAGGTAGAAGAAAGTTGACTCTTCTACAGCACTCTGCATTTTCCTTTATAAACTAGTAAACTTCAGTAATGCTTTCTCTATGCACATCCTGTTCTGTGCATGGCCACCAGTAAGAGACTCCTTATCCTGCCTATTCCTTCTAACCCAGATAAAGAAGAAGTGCAAAGGAAACGGCAGAAGCTCATGCCAAACTTCTCTGATGGCTATGGTGGAGGCAGTGGCGCAGGAGGCGGTGGCATGTATGGAGGGGGAGGTGGCGGTGCTGGCTCTGGTAAGGCAGCAGTTTTGGGTGAAGAGGGGAAGGGGTTCTACTTCAAGCAGGACGGGTGTTTATTCTGATTTTTAAAACGTGATGAGGATTTTGTCATCTTTTAAGTAGATGAAACCTGACTCTCCTGTCTTTGTACCAGTGTTACTCATTTCAGTCAAGCATCTCCTTGTTTTCTAAATATTTCATCAGCTCCTTTGCCTTCCTGCTTGGATATAAGGCTCCTGGTGACTTCTTTTTTTCTCTTCCTTGAAGCTTTAAGTTACAGATAACACCTTTCTAGTTTGAGGGAATCTGAATCAGGAATCCGTCATACCTTAGCTTTGTTGCTTCCTGGGGCCTCAAAGGCACTGAAATTCATGAGACAGCTCAGCTAAGTACCATCTTGGGTGCTTAAAATTAAACAGGTTCTTAATTATTTCTGGGACCAGGAGTGGAATTTGGCAAATTAACCCTGTTAGTGCAAAGAACTATTAAAAAATTTGAGATACTATTTAGTAAATTTTCTACTGTGCTCTATCTGTTGAAGCCAGAGCATATCTGAGATGCAGGATCATAAGAGCATTGCTTTGGTTCTTGCAGCAGAGCATTCAAAAGCTGTAGGAAACAAAATTTCAGTTCTTTGTTCAATGTTCTTCTAGATGGTATTTCCATTGCTTTAGGGTGTAATTCTATGAATTCTTAATCTTTTTTCTTTCTTTAGGGTTCAGTTACCCTTCATATGGATACTCTGCTTTTGGAGGGATGCATTTCCACCCTGGCACAACAAAGTCCAATGCTGGAATGAAGCATGGTAACAGTAAAAATGTCGTTCTTGCAACAGTTGAATTAATCATAGAATCATTAAGTTTGGAAAAGACCTCTAAGATCATCAAGTCCAACCGTCAACCCAACACTACCATGCCCACTTAACCATGTTCTGAAGTGCCACATCTACGTGTTTTTTGAACACCTCCAGGGATGGTGACTCCGCCACTTCCCTGGGCAGCCTGCTCCAATGCCTGACAACCCTTTCAGTAAAGAAATTTTTTCTAATATTCAATCTAAACCTCCCCTGGCGCAACTTGAGGCCATTTCCTCTCGTCCTAACCATGTTTATTTTCTTCTGTAGTATCAGCTGAAGTGTCATGCAGGTCTAGCTAAGCATGCTGGGGAAGGCTTTTTTTTTTCCCTAGAAGCAGTCTTTTCTAGAACCTCTCACAGCAGAGGGGTTTGTGTAGATTATACTGCCCTACTTCTCTTTAATTCTGTCCAAGTCCACCTTAAGAGCTGTGTGCATGTTCCTTTTTACTGCTAACTCCTGAGAAGCAGTCACCAAAACCCCTCTGTGTGCTTCTACATTCAGTGTATGTTTCAAGCAACAACCCTTTAGCTTGCTTGAACGTGCTGATTACAGGTGACCCAAGGCCTAGACCAGAGAAAAGGTATCTTACTTGGTTGCCACAGTGTGGTACTCCACAGTAGCCCAGAGAAATAACATAAAAGTCAATGGAAAAGATTGAGTTAATAATAAGGGCATTCTTGGCTTCCTAAAATAGGAAAGTAATTTCAAATCTACATGTTGAATACTCTGTAGTTATTTGCTAAGTCTCAGGGATGAATTTGCTGTCAGAAAAACAGAATTAAATCTGAATAATTCTGTTAGGTTTCCTGGGAATACTTCAGACTTGCATTCTTGTACCATAGAGAGAGAGGTATATCTGTTGTTTTATATAAAAGTTTATCTTTAAAGCAGAGGCTGTCAAAAACATAACATTACTTTAGAGCAAGTTACATTGCTGTGACTGTCCATGTGTGTTGGCATCTGGAATATTATGGTTCATGAGTGTTTAATGATAACACCTATGTCAAAGTAAATTTTTGTATCGTGTTCTTTAGGGTTTGGGTTTGGCTAGTTGATCTTTATCACTTGCATAAAAAAGCAACAGTACTGGACACTAACGATACTAATTTTTGTTTGAAGGACTGTCAAATAGCACAGCTGAACAAGATGAGAAGAGCTCTGATAAGCAAAGCGACAAATGGGACGTGAAACATGATGTGAAAGTGGAAACTGTGGAGAGGACTGAGTGCAGAACCTCTGCTGATAATGAGGAGGAGGATGCTGCTTCTTCCTGTAAAACTCAAGTAGATGAAGTAGATTGCAGGTGGCAGGGTAAGTGAGCAAGTAAATGTATTTAGGGTAGATCAAACTGCAGTATGGGTAAAGCTGCTGTTAAAGGCCTGGAAACTCCATAAATGTCTGCTTGCTGTTTCAAAATATGATAATGCTTCCTGGAGGAAAAAGGGGGGATTCCATTCCCCCAAATCTAAGGTCCCTCCCCATACGTAGTTCTGTAGATAATTTTCCAGCTTTGTACTGCCAGTGGGCAACTGAGCTTCTGCTTGTCATGCAAGGAGAAGAGATAGCTTAGCCTGCTGGGCACATTTAACACTGCTTTATGATAAACCTGTATGAGGAACACTGAAAGCAGTGGAGGTACGTGGAATACAATTCAGCAGTTGACGTGGCTTTTGATATTTGGGAGGCTTTAATGCATGAGTAAATGGATGTTGTCCTGATTGTTGCAGTAGTTCTTCCCTGCAATTCTGCTGTTAAATTGTGTGCAAATTAGCGTTAAAGGTTTGAATTTAAAATGTCACATGGGAACAGAAACATTTACAAATACATATTAAAATAACACTGTTGAGTAGCAAAGTCTTGTACATCAAACTGGTGAACAAAAGGGGAGGAAGGCAAGCGTAGTCAGTAGAGTTGTAAAATATATGAAGACTACAAATTACCCTTTCCCAGACAGTAAGACTTCCTTTTCCTGGATTGTTTTTTGAAAGAGTTGATGGTCACTTTTTTTAAAGGATTTGAGTAATCCTGCTTCTCATAAAATTAAAAAAAACCCAACAGTTGGACTAGAAAGAATGGTAGTGGTAGGAATTTAGCAGGAAGGAATTTTTTGTTCTTGGCTTTTACCAAGTGCAATGTGATCTAGATCGACTTTTGTTGTTCCCTCCTTGGTCAGGGAGAGGGCATGTTATCTTGTGTGTATCAGCCCTGTGTGACACTTGCTATTAACAGCACTAGAAACTGGCTTGGGAAACCAGAGTCACGTAGTAGGTGGGTTGTAGTTGTAAAAACCTCCAAGATGTAGCTTCTTGTGATCTGAGAAACAGATGGCATTCCTGAGAAAAGCTGAAGAACTTGCTGTTTGCAGCTGTGGTTGTGATAAATCCCATGGCCGATTCAGAGAGCAAAATCTTTTGCAGAGATGTGAAGAAATAATAATGTCCGTTTACCAGTCGCCAAGGAGGGGCCTGAACTGTTGACCTGGTTTCCAAGTACTGAACATTGTAGGCAGGAAGTTGAATGTTTCTTTTCTTTATCTATTATATAATGGCATGAAAAGAGGCAGTTTCAAGCTCCAGGTTATATGAAGAATAGATGCAGAAGAACAGGGTCCATGAAGTGGCTACTGCAGGTTTGAACATTTGGGTATCAGACTAAAAGATGCTATCTCATAGTATTTTGAAGGATATCTTCCTGTGTGCTTGATATGAGAAACGAGGGAGGTTTAGCATCCAGTTTTTTGGACTTTGGAAATGTCTATGAGAAAAGACTGAATTGCTTAACACCCTTTACCCTGGATATATATCCTGAACATAACATCCATTTAATGCTATTATTTAGTGTTAAAAGGTAAATAGCAAATATATCAGCCTGGGCATATAGTATAGGAACCACAGTGATGTATTGGCTAGAATAATAAGCTTCATGGATAGCTGAGTAAGTCTGTGGCTTGCAGAAATGATGTATTCGTGTTCATCAGGGATATGCTTCTAACCCAGTCTAAATGCCTGGTTTTGTGTAGCTGGAAATCCTGGGTATTCTCTCCCTATGTGTGCTTTAAATGACAAAGTCTGTTTTACTTGTTTGCTGTTAGTAATTTCTAACCCTACAAGGTTTTATAGAAACATGAAACCGTTCAAAATACAAGCTGGTTTTAGATGATACTGCTTCCCAGAATGACGACTGTGGTTTGAAAGTTCATCTATTTCATTTTCGCTGGTTTCTTGCCGATACAGAACCACAAAGGTATTGACAGAGCAGCTATAGTGACTTTTTTCCACAGATGAGTTTCTTTCCTCCCCTTTCCCCTTTTGCCTCTCTACCATGACAAATTCTGCTTTTTGAAATCTCAGTAGTTGTATATTTTATAAGTCTAAAATCAGGATACTACAAATACTAAGCATTGTAAACATTGGAATGTTTTAAACAGGTGAACAGACTCTCTGTGCTGCTGCTGTAAAGCAGGAGAGACTGCATGGTTTGAGTTGGAGGGGGGGCACAAAGCCCTGCATTTATTCCATAGCTTTTCTGTGAGTTTCTGTGCAATATTTGACAGGTCCCTTAGGCTTCTTGTGTCTCAGTTTTCTGAAGTCTGAACTACTCAGAACTGCATGGGAGGTTCTTGTAAGTGCTCTATGGACAAGAGTCCTTAGATGTTGCTCGTATCTAAGCAAATCCAAGTTCCTGCTCCTTTTGTCCCATTACACGCAAGTGCACATCAATGCAATTAATTCGGTGCCACTCAATTTAAAGGTAGCTTCCAGGGTTTGACTGTTCTCAGAATTCTTGCTGCCTGAATGCTCAGCATGCACCTAGTTTTTCTTCTCAGGGTCTCATTCCCTCTATCCTTACCTCTCAGCAGTAATAAGCAACCTGTCTCAGTAAATCAGTGAATAATGCTTGGTGGTCTGCACTTTGTATTTCTTTGGCAGCACAAATGCCTGTCAAAAGAAGGTGGTGTTGCAAAGAAGACAACTGAACTGATGAAGACAAAACTTTGTGTTGCAGGTGGTCTGTTCCTGGAGAAGGCCATGCAGCTTGCCAAGCGTCACTGCAATGCTCTCTTTGATTATGCTGTAACTGGAGATGTGAAGATGCTGTTGGCTGTTCAGCGCCATCTCACTGTTGTCCAGGATGATAATGGAGACAAGTAAGTTGGTCTATACTTACTGGGTTGAAAGTCATGTTTTTAATGGCAGGATGGTGTGGTCAATTTGCTGTGTCCCCTGCGGGTGCTGATCATGGATTGCAGCACTGCTCTAATCAAATAAATACCATTCTCCTTTGTGTTGTTTGGGAGAGGTACAGCTGCAATTTAGACATTTTTGTTGTATTTGCAGAAAAGTCACTCAAATCACAAAGTTCATTGATCCGGTACCTGTCAGAAAGTAATCTGGTCATTGAGGGTATGTTGAGCTTTGTTGTGAGTTTGTTTGCTTTTTTTTTTGTCTTAAAATCGACTGAGCATGAAGTGCTATGCTTGCATCATGGTACACAGTTGATGGGGATCCTCAGCTTTGTGCTGAAGGAAAGTGCCCTGCTTTTTATTCCATGCAAGTCCTTAAGTCTTCATAGGAAGCTTTAAATTACAGATGCACCAGGAGACGTAGAAAGAATAGCTGGAGGGTCCATGCTGCTTTTCTCCCACTGACACCAAGTTCTTTCCAGAGGACGGTGGTTTGCTCTTGCTTATGTCTGTACTGTACTGTTGTCTTCCAAGAGATTGCACAGATGTTCGTGGCAGACTTCGCTGCTAATATTTCTGTAACAGTCCTTCAGTAACATGAGCTGAAGTAGAAATCCATTTTGTTCCTCTACACTTACGCAGATTCTGTGGGACTCAGAGGGTGAAATACAGTGAGGAACTAATGATTAGTAGTTACTTAAAAGCAAATTCAGTGGGAGTGGCTCTGAACACATGCAAAGATAATCTTTTCAATAAGCTCACTTTTTAGCTGACAGGCTTTGGGCAGGCCCTGTGCAATCACTTGTGTTTCCTTAAATTTCAGTATTTTGTACGGTAGAAGCCATATAAGCCTTAAGGTGTCCAGCTAGATGGAAAATTACAAGCAACTGAGACATGCCATCCCACTGTTTGATTACTCAGTGAGAGGCTACTACTTTCACTCCACTTTCAGTGAAAATAGGTCTCAGATTACTGATAAAGGACTGCAAAATCAAAGATAGCTACTTTACTTGCTTTGCTTTCCAATTGGCAACCTGATGTCTACTTTTAAGAAAGCAGAAATATGAACAAGGCAGGAGCTAGCAACTAAATCTGCTAGCACTTTGGACAATACAGCTTCTGTGTTTAACAACAACAAAAAAAAAGCAGGGTAGAGGAGTATTGACCAAGCAGGACCTGCATTTAAATACAACAAGGTGCCCCTCAGATTTGGACTTGCAGGGCATTTCAACAAAGTCAAAATACTTTTCAGAATGATGGTAAATAGTTGTTTTCTTCCTGCATTAAGAAGTACCTGCAAGTATGTGAGGTTCAAACTCATGTCATCTTTCTCCTGGGATGGATTTTAGTCTGTGAGCATGTAATACATCTAAATTACTCAGCAGCTTTTTAACAAAACAAAGTTTTGGTGACTGTCTTCCAGCTCTCTCATACAAGCTGTTTAAAGGAGGAGGGAAAAAAAAAAAAAAGGTCAAAACTCATAAATCCCTTTCCCTAATTTTCACTTTAATCATTAAAATTATAGGTCAAAAACTATACATTTTTTGCTTAAGCCTTTAATGAAGTATTGCTGTCAACAATTTTACTTGTCTTTCATCAAAGTAGTATGTAGGGAATGAAAATACCTTCTGTGGGACCCTGTGTTGTGTTTTATGGCTTTGAGACAAAATACGTTAATCTGTGATTAGTGTATATTTATGGTGGGCATTCAGTAACACTGGCTGTTACTGCGTTTATACCAGTACCACCACTTTCCAGAAGCCTGACAGTATTATGGCACTCTGCCTCCATAGCAGTGCTGAAATGCATTTTCTGATGTAGGACTGCTTAAGAAATGGAATTGACTGCCCTTTCATGGTCTAGTCAGCATGTCTTTACAGCACCATGTGTAGTGGCAGGGTAAAGTTAAAATACTTGCTACAGGAAAAAGAACTAAAGGCAGTAGAAGAGCAAATTTGTTTCTGAAGTGAGATTTGGAAAGAAAATGTTGGCATGATAGAGCATAGTAAGAAGCACCTACCAGAGAACAGTGGAATAGCTCTTTTACGGTAGTGGTGGGACTGTTTGAACAGCACAGGAGAATTGAAGGAGGAAACGTGCTGTGGTACTTCCTATGGCAGTGTCCAGAATAAATAATAAAACAGGCCCTTTTAGCGTGAGTTTGGTTTAGAAATCATTCCCTTTTTATTCCCTTTTTAAAATATCTTCTGGTTTTGAGTGCTCTCAGTCTCAATTTCAAGATGACTCTATGCCTTGAATGGCAAAGAACTTTTTTTTCATGAAAGTGTAGATCTGAGTATATTCAGGTATTTCTGGAGCAGCATAACAAACATACCACATGTCCTATGTTGATATTGTGTGTCAGCAGCAATATACTAAAAAGATGAGTCTAGGAGTTGGCCAACATCTGTTAAGGGAGAGCTTGGCAAGATATGTTTCAAAACCAAAAGCATGACTTTGAAATGAAGTCTCAAGGGAACAAGACAAATCGAGTTCTGTTGGAGAGGGGTGATGGGATTCACAACCTGTTTTTTTCCTGGTGTCATTTCGCAAGTACAGCCACTCTGGCTGATGGCGAAGGACTTGACTTTGGAGAAGTGCACAGGAAACACCATTGCATTAACCCAGTAGAAGTGGTGAAGTGTCTTGCTATGCAGTCAGTCATGTCCCAAACCAGGTTTTTTTCTTTGTCATGACATCTCTGGGCACTGCTGCAAATCCTGTGGCTGTTAGTCACCAGGCCTGACTCCTTAGTCATTTTTTCTGTTTGAAAACGAAGAAAAGAAAACCCCACAGATCTGGGGAAACCCCCAAGGGAAAATCTGCTTTGGTGGCAGAGAGGCCTGTGGAAATTCTGAAGGAAGGTTTTGACAGTAAAAGGTGTTCATGTGCTGCATAATTCAAAACATGAAAAAAACAAAACAGCAAAGAATCTGGGGATTTCAACAAGTTCTGAAACAATTATTTTGTGCTACAAAGTTTGTATTTATTAGACTAGGAGTTAAGTTAAACTCAGGACCAGCAAAAGCCATCCTGAGTCTGCTTTTGTGATTGAAGGGTTAAACACAGTTACCTTCTGACTAGCTTTTTTTAATGTTGGGATTCATTTTAGGTCCTGCTATTTAGTGCTGAAATCATGACCTCTAATAGTCCAGTGTTTGGATCAGTAAGAATTCAATCAGATCTACAGCAAAATTTTTATAATAAATTTGAAAATAGTGTGAATTTGTTCATCTGTTTTTTGTTTGTTTCAGTGTCCTTCATTTAGCAATTATCCACCTTCACACTGAGCTGGTGAAAAACCTCTTGGAAGTGATGCCTGATCTGAATTATAATGACATCATTAACATGAGAAACGACCTTTATCAGGTGTGCAGTTGTGGTGGTATAAGTGTTGATTGTTCAGCCAGTAAAAAAGAAATTCCACAACTTACTGTCTGTCTTATTTTTCTTCTATTCGTTGGAATGAGTCCAGATCAGAGTGTAATGCAAACAAGTTTAGAAGCACAATGACATATTGTAAGGTGGTGGAGGAGCAAGAGCATGTTTTCACTGTTTTAGTTCATAACTCCCCTTGGTGTCAACAGAAACGTCTCCATGGGTCAATCATAGAACAGGCCAAAAGTATGAAATTTGTCAGTTCATGTCTTCATTATTTGGCTTCTCTGTTATTGAACCAGCAGTATGGATTACAGTGTGCCAACTCTGGGCTCTTTTGACCTTTCTAACATGGGATAATTCGGGATCATGAGTCAGTTGCTGTGTCATCAGTTATCTAGAGGCATGCAGAAGCTGTAACAAACTATACCCTTCCTGTAGCCCAGATGATATTTGTGCCCATCACATGTACACCAAGATTTCCCTTTCATTTCTAGATTCACATTATAGCAAAACAAACAAAAAAAAGCCCATCCCCATGTCTTTTACCTAGCAGGAAAAGAATTCTTAACTGCCAGGCACAATTCTGTCTCCTCACCTTCATCTGCGACAGAGTCTGAGCTTTTTGTATTGTAACTCAGACAGGCTTTTAAGAGCTGTGGAAACCTGCCTGGAAAAGAATCTCTTTTCAACTGTGCACACCATTCAGTTGTCCCAAAGCTGGACATTACACAGCAGCACTCTGACATTTGTATCATTTCTTTTGCTGTGAACAGTAAAGGCAGGTTTTTATTCTACACAGATAGTCCCAGAGGGTTTATTTTGACTTTTTTGTTCTCTTTCACATTTCATTTTTAAGTTCCTATAAAGCAAGTTTGAAATGTGGAGGCTGGTGAAAGCAAGCAGAAGATTCTGAATTGAATTCTGTGCCCTCTCTGTAAAAGAAACAGGAAGCAAAGCTGTGCTCCACACAAGAAATAGATCTCTAACTGCCAGGACCTCTACAGCTATTCCTACCTTCTACTTAAACCTTCAGCCAGTGGTGGGAGGGAATGTAGGCTTGGGCTAGAATTTTCCTTCTGTACAGATATTCTGAAAGCTGAATTGTATGTCTACCTTACAAATTCAGTAATTAATAGCAAATATGTTGACAAATCTATTGACAAACACCAGCTTATTGTACAGAGCTGGAATTAGTCTTTTTTTACAGTCCTCTGTTAATACAGGGATAATGATATGGAGATAGAATCTTGTGCAATTTTTAGATTATTTTAGTGTTGGAAATGTGATTTCCCAAACCCTACTGGAATGCTTACTGTTTAAATACATATGTTTCTGAGTGTGTTCTACATGATGCTGTTCACTGGCAAGACTGTCAAGAATGCAGTATACAATCAACCTTTGGAAGTACTTGAAACCTCTTGGCCTGAGAGCTTTTTGGTGCTGCAGGTGTCTTTGCACAAAAATGGAGAACGTGCAAATAGAATCAGCTAGCTAGACACGTGCTGTGTAAATGCACAGTTGTTCTGCACTTTGACAAACGCACAGAACAGCAGGATTTTCTTCTCTTCTGTGCAGTCATTTTGAGGGATAAGGAGATCCTAAGCCCGTGGCTGTAAACCTCCTATTCAGGAGCAAAATTAGAGCATAGTTCGGTGCCAGAGGCAGATTTGAGCAGGCCCTGGAAAGTGTGTGTGCTCTCTCTGTGGCATGAATTTGGCTAGGGGGCAGCTGGAAGCAGGGTTACAGTGTCTGGGGGGGACATGGGGATTATCTCCTTTCCCGAGTCCCTTGCACCGCAATGCTCAAATAGCCAGGTCAGTGCCCTGGCTTACAGAGCAGGCAACATCTTTTGTTCCTCCCAAAGTCCAGCTGCTGACACTAGCAAGGCAGGTTTTATTTCCCGTAAGTAGAAACCCTATTTGTAGTATGCAGTAGGAAAAAAATGTACACATACACAAGCTTTTAATTTCTGTTAGCTTTGAAGTGGGGTAACATCTTCTCACAGTAGGGGCTTTTATGGATTTAAGAGATTTCTGTAGAAGTGATGTAGCTGTTGCTTATCTTCTCATGGCTTGCTTCTGTCACTTCTAGACCCCTTTGCACCTGGCAGTAATCACAAAGCAGGCAGAGGTGGTGGAAGACTTGCTGAAGGCTGGAGCAGATGTTAGCCTTCTGGATCGCCATGGTAATTCTGTCTTGCATTTAGCTGCTACTGAAGGAGATGAAAAGATTTTGCGTTTGCTCCTCAAGCATAAGAGGATATCTCCAATGGTCGACCTTTCCAATGGTGAAGGTATGGAAAGATAATGGCTGTATTTTACACTTGCCTATGGGACAAGCACACCTCAATTCCTGCCAACACAGTGTTTCTACACAGGTAGATACAGACCTTGGAAATAGCATCTTTCCCCATTTTGCATGTGCTATCCTTGGCTTTTACATGCCTGCAGTCACAGATGACAGAACACAGACATGTAGGTTTTCTGGTTATACAGAACATAAGGATTGGTAATGGCCACGTGACACAGTATGGATTTGAATTTTTGTTACGGTATATTCTCTTTAATCTCGCAAAACTTCAAGCACTGTGTTCCTCCTGAGATACCTTATGCAACCACTGGTTTTTAAAAAAATCCCCCCAGAAGAAAATGTTTCCTCCTCCTCTCTAATGAATGAAATCCCCTCAAAAATAGTTTCTGGACCACTGTTGAGTTTTACATCTGGTACTTGTGACCATACAGAATTAGAGCCTATAAAATAACCACAAAGACGCAATTCTCCCATTTTTCAGTGGCACAGATAATTTGAATTTAGTATTCGTGCTCTAGCAGATTGTAAAATGTCTGACCTAAAAATGTCATTATGGGATTCAAACAACTGTATTAAGTTCCTCAGAGAGATGGGGGTTTTGTTTTGTTAGCTCGGGGTTGGTGTGTGTTTGTTTGTTTGTTTTTTAAAGATAAGGCTTTATTATTCTCTTTTTGAGCTGGTACAGGTAATCTTGAGGTGATAGGGCAGTGTGACCTTACAGGAAGATGATACTAAAATATACCAATTATTCCCCAGATTGTTTCTAGAAGAGATGTTCAGTAGCAGATGGGGCCAGTGCAGGGTACCTACTTGTTTAGTACCAAGATGCAGATTTTCTTTTTAAGGCTCCTCTCCTTTGAGGCAAAGAGATGCTCTAGGTGAGCTCTTCAGTTCCTGCCTTCTGTTCTACCTTGTAATCTGCTGATTTTTTTTTTTTTTCCATGCATGGCTTTGACTTGCCATCAATAACACAACTAGTTCCAATTTATGCACAAAGAACATTTTTATTAACTATCTTTTAGCGTATAAGCAGGCAAAATAAGTCACTTCTGCTCAGATAACTACAGTAACTCTCACTCATTTTACAATTCTCATAGATGTGGCCACTTCAAAACTCATTACTCTGACATTTCTGTATTTTTCAAATATTAATACACGTGATGGATGGCTTTTGTTTTGTGTAGGTCTCAGTGCAATTCACATGGTGGTGATAGCAAATAGCATGGCCTGCCTCAAACAGCTGATTGCTGCTGGAGTTAACGTCAATGCTCAGGAACAGAAATCTGGACGAACTGCATTGCATTTAGCTGTTGAACAAGAGAACATCCCTTTGGTGGGCTGCCTTTTGCTTGAGGTAAGGGCGGAATTTCTTTCTCTCAGGTCTTTTCACTTACATATTTAAAACCTCTTGGAAATCCTCAAGTGCTTCAGAGGAACAGTAGTAAGGGTGTTTTCCTGTGTATTGACTTGTTTACTTAAATCAGTAAAAAGGCAAAATTATTGCTAATGTTACTCATTATTACTTGTTTAGCAGTGTTGGCGCATCTTTTGCCCAAGTTGAGGAATTAAATGTGACCCTGACCTGACCACATATGCCGTGTTTAATTTGCACCAAGTAATCCCGGCAGCCAGTGAAACTACTCTTGAACAAGTTAATCATTTCATCTGTGTGAAGTGGAATGTGTATACAGATGTGCATGGAGAGATGGTTGTGTATAAATATTTGTCTCATCTTTTTAAAACCTTGATCCTAGTGTGCTTAATTCTGCACACCCAGAGCTGGCTGCAGTAGCTTTCCTCGGTATCTGTGTACGAATGTGCCGCCAGCCTACCTGCTATCCTGAAGAGCAGCAGAAAGGCAGATTTCTGTGCACACCAGTTTAGGCGCCAAATGCTGCAGGTAATCGGATGGCAGAGCTACTACATGGGACGCAAAGTGGCTTTTATCTACCTGACCTATTTGGGTTTATATGCTGTGCCTCCTGCTGTAACACTGGAGCACACAACCACCATCTGTTCCTGCATGGAGATGGTTGTAGTTGCTTTCTCATTCCTTCTTTTCAGACAATGATTAGAGTTTTTACCCAAACAGGCGTGGAATGGTGCTTATTTGCACAGTAGCGATGTTTATGCAGACACGAGTTTCTGCAGCTGTATTGTATAGACAAGTAGCACTTTTCTTTTTGTCGTTCAATAAAAACTTAGGGTGATGCAGATGTGGACAGCACTACATATGATGGGACAACTCCTCTTCACATAGCAGCTGGAAGGGGCTCTACAAAATTGGCAGCAGTTCTCAAAGCAGCAGGTATGAAAATAGATATTTGCTGCAGAGTTTTCTTTCACAGTGACGATTCAGGTTAGAAGGCTGCAAGCAGAAAAGAATGTGCCAGTGAACTTATTTAATGAGCAGAAGAAATTAAAAGCATGAAGGTTTGTTTTTCCTCAGGGAAGTCCTATTTCCAGGTGCTGTACTACTCTTTAGCACCATCTAATGGCTAAAAAGGCAAATTATGTTAGTCAAGAAAAAAAAAATCTCTTGAACACTCTTGGAAGTTTTTTGAGTATTTCTTTTGTAGTTTTTATAGCTGAAGAAGCAGAGAAGAGACCTCGTTACATAATTGGGATAAGTGTTGGACTGCTTTAAAAACAAAAAAAATAGGTCACTGAAACATGAGCTTGTTAGTTAGTGTCTCCTATTTCATATCACTGTGGGGAAGAGTTAGTTTTGAATATTTATTGGAACATTTTTTCAGTTGTATTTAGACCTGATTTTTCTCCTTTGAAACAGAAATCCAAGCTTCCCATTGCTCTGGCTGCGTGCTTGGTCTTTTTAATAATACCCACACTTTCTTTGACACTATAAAAAGAAGCACCACACTATCGCTTCATCGCATACACAGAGTGTAGCATGTGAGCCAAGAATGGGACTGGAAGGCAGTTGATACAATCATAGCTAGTGCTCTGGGCTCTAACACTCTGCACGTCATTTTTTCCCTCTTTATAAAGGAGAGTAGCATTATACAGAGATGTGACAGCATTTAACTTTAGTCAATAAAGTTGTTTGCTGACCTAATATAAAATGTAGTTCAGCTTGAGTAGCTAAATTAGCAGTTTGCCATTCAGAACTTAGAATACGTATTTTAAATATTGTTGAAAAGCAGCTTGAAGCCTTTTCTGAGGAATTTTTTTTCACACTTGTTTTCCAGGTGCAAATCCTCATGTTGAGAACTTTGAGCCATTGTTTGATCTAGATGATGTGAAAGATGATGAAGATGACGATGAAGGGATTGTGCCTGGAACGACACCACTGGATATGGCAGCTAGCTGTGAGGTATGTGGTCTGGCTTTTTTAATAATAAATGATAGTTCAGCTCTCTTGGCCAGCTCCTTTCACTGCATCCACAGTTATTTCAATGGTGACAAGCTACTAATTTGCCATCAAAAATTAAACTAATTCAGCCACAACTCCCCCCTGTGAAATAGCACTGGAAGAAAGCTCCACTTAACAGAGTACTTCTACTGAACAGGAATGGCCAGGCACTTCTTGAAATAGTTGCACTACAGTCTTCAATGTGGAAAAGTGTTTAGCTGGTTGGGCAGCTTGTGCTTGAAGGCCCATATTCAGAGATGCTCTCTAGTGGGTTTCTTTGCTGCATGTTCTTCAGAATTGCAGACTTTGTGTGGAGGGAAAATACACTCTTCTGTTGTGTCCTGCCCAAACAGTGATGAGGCTGCACGGTCCATGCTTTTAGTAGCTGATAACGTGCAGTTGGCTTGGTGTGAGTGTAAGGTACAAGCAGTCAGCATCCCTAATCACATGGAGCTGGGGAGTGGTACTAGCCTTAGGTGAAAATCTATCCCAGGCTTTGTTTTAAATTACTAGTTGCAGACAGGCAATAACTTCTCCTTTAGGCACTGCTACCACCATTCACTTAATGCAAAGACTTCCTCTGTATCTTGAAAACAGTTGCCAGATGACATAGGTAAAGGGCAAGGGAGATCAGCTTCTCAAGATTTCTCCCTCAAGCTTTGCACAGGTCTTCTACAGTATCTTTTGTCATACTGATCCTGGGACATAAAAAATTTACAGATGGCATTAGGGCTTTACACAATACTACTGAGAATTGTCAAGATAATGGACACGAACCAGGTTTCTGCTAAATAAATACTGACTTTAATGCATTCTCTTAGGTGTATGACATATTAAACGGCAAACCCTACGAGTCAGCAGTGGTTTCGGAGGACTTACTGACACAAGGTAACATCTATAAAGATGACTTGATGATATCCCTCTAGTGATTGAGTACTAAATGTGTACTTGCAGAAGACATTGCCCTGCAATAGCTTGTAACTGAAATGAGGCAGAAGAGGTACCCTCCCACGTACTCATTCATAGAATGAGCATGATTCTGTTAAGGGTAGGTCACAAGGACACACAGGAGTACATTTTCAATATTACAGCAATACATTAGTAAACACTGGGATTGATGGACACTAAAATACTCTTTAATTTGGCTTTGTTTCTGCTTAGAAACGAACTGGTGCATGATTTGTATAAATAATAAACTAACATATTTCTCTGTTCCCAGGACATTTGAGAGAGCTGAATGAAAGTTCCAAGATGCAGCTTTACAAACTATTGGAATTGCCCGATCCAAAGAAAAACTGGTCCACTCTAGCACAAAAACTGGGTCTTGGCATACTTAATAATGCCTTCAGGCTGAGCCCTTCCCCATCGAAAACTCTGCTAGATAACTATGAGGTAATGTGGCTGTAACAAGTTACAAAGACACTCAAACATAGAGAGAACATTGTCCTCCTGCATGGTGAGACAGTGCAGCCCTTTTGTTTTAGCCAGCCTGGATGATGGTGAGTATCTGGTGTCTTCTCTCTTAGGTTTCTGGTGGTACAGTTCAAGAGTTGATTGCTGCTTTGAGACAGATGGATCACACAGAAGCCATTGAAATCATACAGAAAGCACTAGCCATCTCACAAAGCCCACCTCACTTGGAGGACAATACCGCAAAAGCTTTTCCATTGTCATCACCACCCACCTTTGCAAATGGAGAGACAGGTAAAATTGACAGTGAAATATCAAGAGCTTTACTTCAGATGTTTTTTTCAGTACCTGCCCCGGCCCTGGACTGCTGATAGGTTGCATAGTTTCTTACACACAATGCCTGAGCTGCATACCTGTTTCAGAAATATTTTACTGCAGCATGACTTTTCTCATCATAGACATTTGCTAGGCCTAGAAGAAAGGGGAAAAATGAGTCATGTGAATCCTTAGCCCTGCATTACAGTATTGATTATACAGCCTCCCTTTTCTAAAACCAGACATCTGCCATTTACTGATGGTAACTCCTTGGATGTACTGGGGGTAAGTTTCAAAAGATAAACTAGGCAATGATCTCCCAGGCCTGTACAAGTGTTGCTACCTTTTTACTTCCCCCACCCTCATATCTGGATAAACAAAAATGTTTTGGGTTCATAAACTTCTCAGTAAGACTTTGGTATTAAATTTCTCTTTCCACAATGTGTAGCACTCCAAAATGGCCCCGTGTTCTACAGGCAAAGAAATTGGGGATGGTTTAGGTTACAAGGGACTTCCAGCAGTCAGGGTGTCCAACTGCTTCCTCAGAGCAGAGCCAATGTAACATTACATGATGTTGCTCTTGTCATGTCCAGTTGAGTTTTGAGCATCTTCAACAGCAGAGGTCCTACAGTGCTTTTGGGCAGGGGACTCTACTAACAGAAAGATTAGATTGGATGGCTACAAGCTCTTCAGAAGGGATAGGCAAGGTAGAAGAGGTGGTGGGGTGGCTCTCTATGTTAGGGAGTGTTTTGACTGTACAGAGCTACACGATTCTGATGACAAGGTGGAGTGCTTATGGGTGAGGATGAGAGGGAAAGCCAATAAGGCAGATATTGTGCTGGGAGTCTGTTATAGACCACCCGACCAGGTTGAAGAGACAGATGAATCGTTCTACAAGCGGCTGGCAGTAGTCTCAGAATCGTGTGCCCTTGCCCTCATGGGGGACTTAAACTTTCCAGACATCTGCTGGAAATACAATACAGCAGTGAGTAAACAATCTAGGAGGTTCCTGGAGTGTGTGGAAGATAACTTCCTGACACAGCTGGTGGGTGGGCCAACCAGGGGAGGAGCCTTGCTAGATCTGTTGTTTACAAGCAGGGAAGGACTGGTGGGAGGTGTGATGGTCGGAGGCTGTCTTGGGCTTAGTGACCATGAAATGATAGAATTTTCAATTCTTGGTGAGGCAAGGAAGGTGGTCAGCAAAACCACCACTATGGACTTCTGGAGGGCAAACTTTGGCCTCTTCAAGGCACTAGTTGAGAGAGTCCCTTGGGAGATGGTCCTGAAGGGTAAAGGGGTCCAGGAGGGATGGACATTCTTTAAGAAGGAAATCTTAATGGCTCAGGACCGGGTTATTCCCATGTGCCGCAAGTTTAACTGCCAAGGAAAATGACTGGCCTGGCTGAATGGGGAGCTTTTGCTAGGAGTCAAGAAAAAAAGAAGAGTTTATCATCTCTGGAAGAAAGGGCAGGCAACTTGGGAGGAGTACAGGGATCTTGTTAGAGCATACAGAGAGAAAATTAGAAAGGCAAAAGCTCAGCTAGAACTAAATCTGGCCACTATTGGAAGGGACAACATAAAGTGTTTTTACAAATATGTCAACAGTAAAAAGAATCCCAGGAAGAATATCTGTCCCTTAATGGATACAGAAGGGAACGTTGCCACCAGAGATGAGGAAAAGGCCGAGGTACTTAATGCCTTCTTTGCCTCAGTCTTTAATAACGAGTCCAGTTATCCTCAGGGTACTCCACCCCTTGAGCTGGAAGGTAAGGATGAAGAGCAGAACATACCCCCCTTAATCCAGGAGGAAATAGTGACCTACTACGCCATCTGGACACTCACAAATCTATGGGACCTGATGGGATCCATCCAAGAGTACTTAGGGAACTGGCAGAGGTCCTTGCAAAGCCACTCTATCATCTATCAGCGATCCTGGTCAACAGGGGAGGTCCCAG